CCGGAATTCAATCACCTGTAAGTGCGAATAAATTTTTGCCCCATAATGGATCGATGTCGGCTGGTACGAAACTCCTGTGGTCAGTGAAGTAGTCGAAATCTTTTATCATAATAAGTTTGATCAGCTCAGTGTCTGTTACCATCAAGGTGGGAACGTTAAATTGGTAAAATCCAAAATATCTACAAGAAAAATGTCCTTATCATTATTGTGAAAAAAAATGCACACTCGGTGTTCGTTTTACCTGGAATCAGTAAATGAGTGGTACATATTTTGTATCAAGTGGGCTGCACTTTGACGCCGAAAAATCGCGAAGAAGTTGTCCAAGTATGCTCTTAGCATCGGTCCCTGTTTCACACCTCTATTTTTCCAGTAATACAAAGGCTTTATGGTGTAGTAATAAATTAACATTACTAGTGATATTATTAATAGGATCGTCCACATATTGACTGAAAAATAACTTGAAGAATAATATCAGTTAGTCCAATCTGTCCAATTAATCAATTGAGAGAACTCTATTACTATTGAAAAGGAATATTCTCAGATATAATTATGAACACAAAAAAATTGCGATTGGATTACAAATAAGAACATAAATTAAATATTACTGACGAAAATACTTCATAATAATTTACTTACTTTTATCAAGTGTGCCGAGGATAGGCATGATGCATAATATTTTACAGTTATTTCGATCAAGTCTTCTTGTTAATTTTGTTAAATGAGTTGATCCAATCGCAAATAAATTAGTATCGTTAGATTCGTCAAAATATCCTTTTTTCGGAAAGTGCTTGTCAAAAAATGGTCGCCATTTGAAAAATAATAGTTAGACACGAAAATGTAATTTTGCCAACTTGTCTTATTCATATCGATCATACTTGTCACTAAAACTTCGCGATTGTGATTTTCTGATATCACCTGAGGTCCTTAGATTAGTTTACTTCCGATCATGGCCACCTAGATGTAATTTCAAAAGTGACTCCGAAAAAATTGAGTAGGCATAAAAACTTTCGAGAATGTCACATCCTGATCAAGAATTGTCTCAGAAATCCAAAAATGTTACAATATACAGGGTGTTCCATTTAAAAATTTAGAACTGGAGCCATTTCCGGTGAAACCGGAAGTGACCAGGAAGTGAAAAATATGTGAAAATTCTTCTCTGAACATACCATTTACCTATATCAAATCTCATTTTGATACACCTAATGGTCTAGAAGTTATGACTTGTCTAATAGATTCGTTGACACCCGGTATATATATCCTCTTTTTATGTTCATGATTTCATCTGAAAATATTGCTTTTCAATACTTTCACCCAATCAAGGGAATCAAACTTGTACGATGGAAATTTGTTATTTTCATAGATTTTTCGCAGATCCGTGATTAGGTTTTCTCAATTCAGAATTTCTTTCCACGTCCTATGTGATGAATATCAATTTATCATACATTCAAAAATTATTTATATCAACTGAAAAAATGTAAATTAGGGTACTTACATGTTTTCAACAGAAGAATGGATCTAGCTCTATCAACTTTTCTATGACAAACGGGTGGATGAGTGCATTGGTATAGGTATTGCGTCTGGAGTGTTTATTTTTTGATCTGAAAATAGATGTGGATTAGTTTGTTTACATATAATCATTCAATGAACTCGCTCGCTAATTCAGAATTGCACTGGTCGAACAGTGGCAGGCTTTGATTCTGTGAAAAAATGGATTTATACAATAAAAAAACTAAAAAGATGAAACTTTTAAAAGTCAAGCTTCCATAAAAATACACTGGAAAGGAAAAAATAAAATCTTCTATGTTTGATCTAGGTTGTTCAGTGAGTAACAGATTCAAAATCTTACCTCACAAGATTTCCGATTTTTCATCTGTGGCAATTCGACTTGATTTTTGTTTGGCTGGAGACTGCCCTGCACGGATGAGAGTCAAAGAGCTCGAAACCGGTCTGTAGGTGATTAGCGTGGCCTGGCTAAATCGAAATCAATAGGTATTCAGGAAATATTCACTTGCATCAGTATTCGTTTATACGAGTCGATGCATAGATTTCGGGAGGATGTAATTTCAATGTCCTGCTTGGAATGTAGTTGTTTTCCTACCGAAATCTACCATTGTTGTTCATTTTATGAACATTGTGTGGAAATGACTTTGGGCTTTAGGTATTTATTGCTACTGTTTTTCAGAAAAAAATAGCATATTGAAGTTTAATATGTAGGTATAAGTGGTATTTAAAACACGTTCGATTTTTCGATCATTTCACGCTGTTTTTTTTATTGATACACTTTGAGATCATATAACAACTTGTTTTAGTATGTTGCCTTGGTAACTTCAAACAACGAGTGTTTTTTGGGAGTTGGATTTTAAATAGGCAGAATAGGGAACCAATAAAAAAATAGTATATTCATCTGAAGAAGTTTCTTTATTTGAAAAATTAGTTTACAAAAATATGATTCCAACATAGACACGAATTTTAGAGATAAACAACTCAAGATGACCTCAGACGTTTCAGACCCAACCACATATCTCCTTCAGCAGCCAAAATCAAAGCTCTCTTGTCCAAAACCAAAGGTATGGCGGTCCTCTCCACAGCAACAAACTCAAACCGCGACAAAACGTAAAAAAACAAAATCTTCACTTCCAAAAGGGCGAACCTCGACCCTATACAGTTCCTAGGCCCCAAGCCAAAGGGCTGCTAGCTGTAAAAAGTCACATTTGCTTCCGTATAAAAATTAATTGAGTTCGATGACACCACAAAAGAGTCATTGAATGCAAACGAATATCATTTCATTATCAGTAACTTTATTAACAAAACTGTGTACAAAAGTTTGATTCCAACACAGACACGAATTTAAGAGACAAACTCAAGATGGCCTCAGACGTTTCAGACCCAACCACATATCTCCTTCAGCAGCCAAAATCAAAGCTCTCTTGTCCAAAACCAAAGGTATGGCGGTCCTCTCCACAGCAACAAACTCAAACCGCGACAAAACGTAAAAAAACAAAATCTTCACTTCCAAAAGGGCGAACCTCGACCCTATACAGTTCCTAGGCCCCAAGCCAAAGGGCTGCTAGCTGTAAAAAGTCACATTTGCTTCCGTATAAAAATTAATTGAGTTCGATGACACCACAAAAGAGTCATTGAATGCAAACGAATATCATTTCATTATCAGTAACTTTATTAACAAAACTGTGTACAAAAGTTTGATTCCAACACAGACACGAATTTAAGAGACAAACTCAAGATGGCCTCAGACGTTTCAGACCCAACCACATGCCTCCTTCAGCAGCCAAAATCAAAGTTCTCTTGTCCAACACCAAAGATGTGGCGGTCCTCTCCACAGCAACAAACTCAAACCGCGACAAATCGTAAAAATACAAAATCTTCACATCCAAAAGGGCGAACCTCGACCCTATGCAGTTCCTAGGCCCCTAATCAAAGGGCTGCTAGCTGTAAAAAAACACATTTGCTTCCGTATAAAAAATAATTTAGTTCGGTGACACCACAAAAGAGTCATTGAATGCAAACAAATATTATTCCATTATTAGTTACTTCATTAACAAAATTGTGTACAAAAGTTTGATTCCAACACAGACACGAATTTAAGAGACAAACTCAAGATGGCCTCAGACGTTTCAGACCCAACCACATGCCTCCTTCAGCAGCCAAAATCAAAGCTCTCTTGTCCAACACCAAAGGTATGGCGGTCCTCTCCACAGCAACAAACTCGAACCGCGACAAAACGTAAAAAAACAAAATCTTCACTTCCAAAAGGGCGAACCTCGACCCTATACAGTTCCTAGGCCCCAAGCCAAAGGGCTGCTAGCTGTAAAAAGTCACATTTGCTTCCGTATAAAAATTAATTGAGTTCGATGACACCACAAAAGAGTCATTGAATGCAAACGAATATCATTTCATTATCAGTAACTTTATTAACAAAACTGTGTACAAAAGTTTGATTCCAACACAGACACGAATTTAAGAGACAAACTCAAGATGGCCTCAGACGTTTCAGACCCAACCACATATCTCCTTCAGCAGCCAAAATCAAAGCTCTCTTGTCCAAAACCAAAGGTATGGCGGTCCTCTCCACAGCAACAAACTCAAACCGCGACAAAACGTAAAAAAACAAAATCTTCACTTCCAAAAGGGCGAACCTCGACCCTATACAGTTCCTAGGCCCCAAGCCAAAGGGCTGCTAGCTGTAAAAAGTCACATTTGCTTCCGTATAAAAATTAATTGAGTTCGATGACACCACAAAAGAGTCATTGAATGCAAACGAATATCATTTCATTATCAGTAACTTTATTAACAAAACTGTGTACAAAAGTTTGATTCCAACACAGACACGAATTTAAGAGACAAACTCAAGATGGCCTCAGACGTTTCAGACCCAACCACATGCCTCCTTCAGCAGCCAAAATCAAAGTTCTCTTGTCCAACACCAAAGATGTGGCGGTCCTCTCCACAGCAACAAACTCAAACCGCGACAAATCGTAAAAATACAAAATCTTCACATCCAAAAGGGCGAACCTCGACCCTATGCAGTTCCTAGGCCCCTAATCAAAGGGCTGCTAGCTGTAAAAAAACACATTTGCTTCCGTATAAAAAATAATTTAGTTCGGTGACACCACAAAAGAGTCATTGAATGCAAACAAATATTATTCCATTATTAGTTACTTCATTAACAAAATTGTGTACAAAAGTTTGATTCCAACACAGACACGAATTTAAGAGACAAACTCAAGATGGCCTCAGACGTTTCAGAGTTCAGACCCAACCACATGCCTCCTTCAGCAGCCAAAATCAAAGCTCTCTTGTCCAACACCAAAGGTATGGCGGTCCTCTCCACAGCAACAAACTCGAACCGCGACAAAACGTAAAAAAACAAAATCTTCACTTCCAAAAGGGCGAATCTCGACCCTATACAGTTCCTAGGCCCCAAGCCAAAGGGCTGCTAGCTGTAAAAAGTCACATTTGCTTCCGTATAAAAATTAATTGAGTTCGATGTCACCACAGAAGAGTCATTGAATGCAAACAAATATTATTCCATTATTAGTTACTTTATTAACAAAATTGTGTACAAAAGTTTGATTCTAACACAGACACGAATTTAAGAGACAAACTCAAGATGACCTCAGACGTTTCAGACCCAACCACATGCCTCCTTCAGCAGCCAAAATCAAAGCTCTCTTGTCCAAAACCAAAGGTATGGCGGTCCTCTCCACAGCAACAAACTCGAACCGCGACAAAACGTAAAAAAACAAAATCTTCACTTCCAAAAGGGCGAATCTCGACCCTATACAGTTCCTAGGCCCCAAGCCAAAGGGCTGGTAACTGTAAGGTTGGATTCGACCCTTGTTCTCTTCACTGAACCGCTCCGGGTCGAATTTGTCCGGGTTAGGATAGAATTTGGGGTCTCGGTGGATCCCGTAGGTGGGGATAAGCAGGAGGTCCCCTTCGGCTAGCCGCAGCGGCGGTTGCTCGGGTGTTTTCGGGTCTATCGTGCAGGTTTTGGTGCAGATCCGTTCTGCGCCTGCTTGAGACGGCCATTTTCTCAAGACCTCTGAAACAGTTCGTCAAAAGTTGAAGACCTTGTCATAAACATAAAACTAAATAGGAAACTTTAACATGAACAAAAGTAATAGAAAAAACAAATATATTATTATATAGATTATTATTCTTAGAATAACACTTTTTGCAAAACTGAAATTTTCAAAATCATTCCGAAGATTAGTGATAGTTTGGACACAAAAATAAGTTTCATTTAGAAAAGATAGTAGTTTAATATACTAAAACTAAACTAAAGATAGCCAAAGTAAAAGAAATTAAAATAATAAAAGTGTGTTGATAAATACGCACAAAATAGAAAATATCAGCACCTCCGTAATCAACACACTTCTATTATTTTTGGATGTATGATAAATTGATAAGCATCATACAGGACGTGGAAAGATGTCATACATCCAAAAATAAAAACCAAATGACAGGGATTGAATGTCAACAATCATTCTCAGATATCTGTTTCGTTATAGTTTTAGTTATATTATGGAGAGATAAAAGTTGTGTAACTGGACTTCAGGTTACTGAGTAGGGTTTGAGATCCGAAATGAGTTGATTCGAATAAAGTCATATAACCTATTTGTGAGAGATATAATACCCATATCACTGATATAAATGATTGTTTTTGGAAGTTCCAAGCTCATCAAGATCAGAGTTTATACAACTATACTTCTCCAATACATTTCAATTTCCATGTCAATACTGAAAATATTGGTAAGTTATATTTTTATATCATAATACATCATATTATTTATCAGATTTGAGAGATTGTCAATTCTTTATTTCTGAGGATTTTATTTTTTTTTGCTCGCTTTTTGGATGTTCAACAGATATAATTCAATGTTCGACGTGGCACATAGCCAGGAAAGTAGTTGTTTCCTGTTGAATATTCAGAATGATGTTATATGCATATACATATATTTTTATCTGAAGGAGAATGCGAATTCTCAACCTTAGAACATTTTGTTCTCAATTTCTTATCGTGTGTGTTCAATAGATGTAATTCAATGTTCGTCGTGGCATATAGCCAGGAAAGTAGTTTTCTGTTGAATTCTGTTTAATTGATATTTTTATTACATAGAGAATGCGAATTCTCAATGTATTTCTTTATATATATGTATCCATTTTTTTCATATCCATAATTTATCTGGGAATATTCCTCCACAATACACTCCTATTATTTTATTTTCCACTACCTTTTAGTTTGACTATCTATAGAAGCATGTTTTTTCTGCCCCGCAGTGAAAGTGGGGAATTTGCGCGCCTGTTGCTTTCCTTGGATTATGTTTATGTAACCGTTTATCATGCTTCCTCTCCAGAAACTTCATTTCATACGAGTACTTGGTGCAATAAAGCAGTACCGTCTCGTAAACATAGTTTTTTCCTTTTCGTAAGAATTTACTTCGTTTAAGACACTGCCGTGTATCTGGATATATAAAGAAAGCATTGTGAAGTTATTCAAAGGAAAAAAATAATTGAAATTCTGGCGAAGAAAAAATTTCGAAATTTAAAATTATCGAAACTTTGGTTTCAATTCAAGTGATTCAAGATTGCAATTGAACGATCTGTACTGTTTTAGAGATTTAGAGAAAGTAGTATAGAGTTATCACGAAAATTCTAAACGTTTTAGGATTTCTCTAGAATACTCTCGAATGCTCTCAAATCTTCAGAAGTGTTCTAGAATGAGTTCGAATATTCAAGAAATATTGGGATTGTTATAATTCCAAGAATGTTCTCAAATGAACTAGAATGTTCTAAAAATTCAGGAATATTCTCGAATGTTCGTGAATGCTCAAATTCTATCCTAGAAGTTTCAAAAGTGTTCTAGAATGTTCAGAAATAATCGTGAATGTTCAAAAATTGTTCTAGAGGTTTCAAGAGTGTTCCAGAGTGTTCTCAAATACATACAGGATGATGAAAATATAAAAATTCCAGAAATTTTCTCAAATGATCGTGAATTGATTGAATGAAGATTCTAGAATGTTCCAAATATTTCAGAAATATTCCATAATGTTCGTGAATACTCAGAGACTGTTATAGAAAGTTCCGAAATACATACAGGATGATGAAAATCTAAGATTCACCTGATATGACCATGTCCAGATACTTCATACTGACTAAAGCATCATAAGTCAACTTTCCCTTGCATTTTTCACTAGTTTCTCGAATTTCGTTCCTCAATTTGTCTTGTATGTCTGGGTTCATTGCCAGTTCATAAGCTGTGAAGCACATCAAAGTTGAGAGGGACTCAAATCCAGCGAAGAAAAACACCAAGGCCTGAGCTGTTATATCTTCGTTAGTGATGTTCATGGGAATCTTTCCACCTACTGAAAATTATTGGAAAGTCTGATTCAAATAAGTGCCGGATTTAGGGGGGGGGGGCTATGGGACTATCAGCCCCCTGCGGTGAATTTCAAGGGGCGGAAGAGAAAAGAGGAAAATCAAGCAGCAATACAGTCTTTGAATGGTTGAGATACTGTTTTTGTGAAAATCATAACATGCACTAATCTAGCGTCAGCTGTGTCTTGGCGTTACCATCGATAATCTCGATGATGGTAACGGTCTTGGACGCTACAATACAAAATACATACATACATAATTTTATTTGATGATGAGAAGAAAAACCGCATTCTACTCGTCTAACTCAATAACAAAATCAGAGTGGTTGTCCTTGGTATTGTTGGTAATGGTATTAATAATAAATAAATATTGAAACTTAAATTTAAAAAATGAGTAAAAAAGGTGGTGCATTCTGGTAACGGCAGAAGATTAATAAACAAAATTAGTTAGACGAAGTTGTCACGAAATGCCCTAAAATACATTCATTTTTTCTAAATTCAAATGAGATAGAATCAGAACCGATAGAACCGTCTCCGGGAACTTCACGATCTCAAGACAAGAATGGTAAGTTTTATATATTTTTAAATTCAATACGCGAAAAAGAAGAGTTAGAATCTCAAGAATAGATGATCAAAATATGAACACGACTAAGCGTTGTTTTAGGGATAATCACAACAAATTCATTGAATATTGGCAATTACTGAGAAGTTTTTTACTATCCCTGATGATTCGTAATGCCAGTGGTGAAAGGTCATTCTAAACAGAGTGAAAAACTACCTTAGGAATTCCATGGTAGAGGATATATTGAATATCTTATCAATTTTAAGTATTAACAGTGAGATGTTATTAAATCTGAATTTTGATGATGCCATTGACGACTTTGCATCAAAAAAATCGAGAAAATTATTGTAGCATTCATCTGAAAAAAATATGTGTTGTTTGTTGTTATGTTTAACGTGTGATGTAAATATAATTTGATTCGTTGTACATAATGATTTCATGTTATTGTTATATGCTGTGAGAAAAAGCAGTGAAAGGATTATTTGAATTTTGAAACTGACAATTGAAAATTAAATATTTGGCGGCGGCGCGGCGGCATCGTAAAAGTTAGCTCCCGGCGTAAAAGGGAGTATAAATCCGGCACTCAATTCCGGTTTTTCTTTAGTTTTCATTCATTTTCAAATGAACTCTTTTTGTTTAAATGCCATCTTAGAGATTCTTGAAGTTTATTAAAAACTCCCGAATAAATTGAAATGCAAAATTGAAAAAAATGAATTTTGTGTTCTATTTAATTTTAATCTGTGGTGTTAATGAAGATGATCTCCATGGTATACCTACTTACTTATCGTATTGAAACTTTCCAACTTCATATTAGTTGATGGCTATGATATGGAATTTTTTTAAGGGTTCAGAAATATTTTTGATAATGCAAAATCTGACGCAAAAAAATTTGATAATTTTCATAAAACTTACGAGGGGAATACAACAAGTAATGTTTCATGACAAATCCCAATTATATGAGTAGACTGTAGATTGAATGTATGATTGTGATATATCGTTGAAAATGTCATTTATACTGAATCGTGCGATTTCCAGAAAAAAAATTACTTTGTATTTGAAATAAAAGAATTGGATACACTTGTGTCATACTTGGTCTGATAGTAGTGAAAATATACACCCATGAAATCAAATCAATATATCAAATTTGAATCATTCAGAATAGCAAAGAAGATACAGAGGGGGGTAAGTTGGTTCCGGGTCTCCCGGTATATTACTTGATTCTTCTACAGTAGCATATCCAGTATCAAGTTTATCATCTTCTTCATTCCTGATGACTCCATTTCTAGCTTCCATAAGTAGCTGTATTATATCTGGTCTCGACACGTTCTGTTCTTCTCTCAGAGCAATCGTCTCATCGATTAGAGTTCTAAAGAAATTGCTGACGTTATCGTCGAAGAATTTTATTTTCAAAGCCTGTAGAAAAATAGATTGAGAATGTATATAGTGAAACAAGTCGGTATTGTACGACGCGTCTGAACTGCCATCCTAAAAAAACTTTTTTTTTTCACGAACATTTGCCTAATTTACAGTTGCAACTGTAAATTAGCACTAATTTACAGTTGCAACCATTAGATCTGAATCGGCGGCACTCAAATGAACGTATGTGAATTTTTTGTGGCGCTCACTCTGAAATTTATAGCTACATTAATGCCTCAACAACGTTTTTCTACTCACATAACTAAAATGGCATTTAGCGTACGGATATGTACCACGCTAAATGATCGATTAATCACGGATTGTCGATCTGTGATTTATTCAAAATATTAAACACGTTACCATGGCAACACGATTTCTTAAACACATTACCATGACAACGCAGTTCATTAAACACAGCTTCAGTAATTTGAAACATGTCTGGCCTGTCAATTGTATTAACTGTCAACTGTTATTTTCGAATTTTGTATCAGAATTATTCAAACAATATTAGTTTGTATCCGAATTCTTCATTAAAAATATATGCGAAAAGTAGACGAAAGCGAAATCGAAGAGAATGTTCTGGTACTTGCATATCTCCAAGAGGTGATGTAAAAATGAAACATCCATCTTTGAGAACAATCTAAAAAGGACGTTTATAACACTTGTTACATAATATACTATTTTCCGCAACCGACACAAACGTCGTCCACTTTGATACCAAAATTAGCTCTTAAATTGACGTTTCTATTACTGACACAAAAATAGGTATGTTGCTTGGCAACATATTTAGTTCCTAGGAGCTAAAGTTGAATTTTAGTTCCTAGGAGCTAAAGTTGATCTTCAGCTCCTAGGAACTAAAAAGGATGTACTGGACGTCATCAAGAATAAAGAACATTGTGACGGTTCGTTATTTGGGTTGAGACGCATAACTGATTTGTTTCCGATTTCAGCAGATTTGGCATTTCATACCCATGCTGGAGATATAAATACACCTTATTATAGTTTAGTATTGGAATTATAAACATATCAGTTAAGTATTTTCGTTTTGATCAGGGAAGCCTTCAAGATACAAATACTTGCTTGATCTGTATTTCATTCGTTATTATCGGGATGGATAACTTGTTTTTGAATAATCACGGCAAGCAATAGTTTTTTTGTCTCAAACAACGATATTGTTTAGCTTCATTTGATTATCAAGTCAAACACAGTGTAGTATGGAGAGGAATAAATAATCACTATTATCATTGTTGATATGCTCACTAACCTAACATTTTCCACGTCTTGTTCCAATAGCTGGCACTGGCGCGGTATTTGCCAATAGAGCATCTGGTTCATACACAAATATGTCACTCTGTGGTTGTATTTATATTGAAATTACAATTCTAACATCCTTGAAAACCTAACCTGCTGTTAATGCAGGTAGAATATTCTCACCACACGGATTATTTGTCAATATTTGTTGCATTGCATACATATGGCACGGCATTATTTGGTGGTTACTTCACATGTTAATTCGAGTTAATTGTTTCGGTTGCAGAAAAAATAGCATGTTTCATTCGGATCAAAAGTGACTCTGTTCGACTCGCAAATTTTGCTTTCGCTCGGCTTCGCTAAACGCTTGTCAAACAAAGTGTCACTTTTGATCCTAATAAAACAATCTACTATTATTCTCCAAATGACATTGAAATTGGATTTTGAATGACACTTAACAGATAGAAAAATTGTACTTTCACTGCCTAGGCAGAAACGGTTTGTTGCTATGCAACTTTCAAAGTAATTTGAAACAAAATGGTAGGTAATCAAAATTGACAATGACTTTGGGTGAACAAAAAATTATGGATAAATTGGACTTTGCGTAAAATTGAGAAGAATTTGGAGAAAAAATTATATGTTTCACATGGCAGAAAAGAAGATGTAATGCCTTGGCTACGCCTAGGCTATGAAACGCCAGCCGCGGCATCAAATCTTGTACTTTTCTGCCTAGTAAAACAATAACTATTTTAGGATGGCTGTTCAGACGCGGCGTAGTATCGATACTCACTCTGTACAGCTTTGGTGCTACCAAATACCCCAAAAATTTCATCATGCTCTTCAAAGAAGTGAAATTTGTGGCTCTTTTCCCCATAGCGTAAAACTCGTTATCGGGATATTTCAATGAATCCACCTCCACGCCAAAAGCTGTGGTAGCGATAACGTCATTGCAAAAACGAGTGAAAGTGTCCTTGGTCTCCAGAACGATCAATTGTTTATCGTCGGCCATGAAATGATTGACGAAATTTTCCGCGCAATTTTCCATAAGAATGAAAATGCCCTTCATTTTACTGCTGGTGAAAGCGGGACTCAAAGTTGACCGCATGTTACGCCAATGAGCACCTTAAATGTCGAAGAAAATTAATCAATCAATCAATCAATAACATTTATTGTATCTAAAGAGGAATCCTCATTACAAGAAAATCGGTTCGAACTAATATATAAATTATTAATATAACAGTGTTCAGGTTATACATACACTGAGAAAAAGAGAATGAGTCATGAAAGAGAAAACAGAAATAAAGAAACAACAAATAGTATGGCAGATGATATTCAGGATACAATCAAGAGATAATTTCAAAAAATCAACATTAAGACCTGATAAGGAGAAACACAAGAGGCATTCGGATCATTCATTTGATGAGGAAAGACCATAATTTCACAATGTTCATCACAATCGTAGCTTATTGTTTCAATAAAACATATGAATGTGTGTTGAGAATATCTTTCAAGTCGCCAATGACTCGTAGTTTAACAAATAAATCGTTTATTCTCAAACCACAATACATAGGACAGACTAGTAAGATATGGTCCAGAGTTCCTCTCTGTTGCAGATTACATATAGAACACAGATCTTCAGTATTGGTTAAATACGAGGAGCAATAGAAAGTAAATTTCAATCGTGCTCTGCTACAAGTACGAATCTGGGCATTGAAAATTAATCACATAATATCCCTCAGAATCATGAGGAGAGAAATAGACTACGAATTTTTTTCTTTCAACTCCAAAAGTTCTAAATCTGCCTTCAATAAGAATGGGCTACTATACACTGAAAAAAAGGCATAGTTGAATCGAGCAACATTTATTTCAATGAAGCAAATGAAAGTTATATGCACGACAAAATATAATCTTGAGAAAAAATGTGTTTGATTGTTTGTTTGTATTGAATAAGCTCCGAACCTACTAGACCGATTTGGAAAATTCATTTACTATTAGAAGCCATTATCCCTGATGAACTTCTAAACGGCTGAACCGATTGGGTTGAAATTTTATATGGGCATTTCGATGTTAATTCAATTGAACTGCTATATCTTTGAAATGATCATGTGAAGCTGTTAATTTCAACAAAAAATTTGCCAAACCAACAAAAATCCTTTTTTTTTTCGTGTATTGAGATACGATTTTCAAATATTAAAAATCAAAATTTCAAGTGACGATGTTCAATGCAAAGTGATTTACATAATTGGAATGGTAAATTTGAGTAGAGAAACTCATAAATTATATACAGGTTGCCATTTGAAATGATAAAGATATAGCCAATTTCCAATTGAACTAGAATATTTAAAAATTTTATCTTAAGAAAAGAGTGATAAATAATATTAAATTGGAACAAGTATAGTGGGGTATATTTTGTATTTAAATTACATTTCTCATTCTTTAATGCAATTGAACAGTGTTCTAGATATAAATCCAACGATTTAGTTGTGATAATTTTATTTATTGTCATGTCTGGAACAAACAGACAAGATACCATACGATAACATAGATCAGTTTGATAACGTACACCATTTTTGCAAAGATAAATATGTAGGTACATACACTTTACATCTAATGTCGATAAGGATTATACAGGGTGAATCTGAAAGTGAGGTTTTTCATTTATCAGGACATATGGACATATATCTCGGCAAAATAAGTTGTTTGGCCATAAATTGTTTATGTAAAAAATGTGAGATAACGGAGGTAGAGGCATTTCAAGGTTTTGCACATTAAAAATCAAATTTTATTAATTTAACATTTATTAGAGGAAATTTGATGAAAAAAATCACTTCAAAACAAAAATTAATAGGTTGAAAATATGAAAAGAGGTATTTGATTAATTTATCTGAAGAAATAATGCAACTGTAGAGTATCTAATGCTGGACTAATAACGCCTTTTTTGTGTTTTTTTTTTTGTGAAAATGTAAACAAAATGTTGCATAGTTGGAGTCTTCTTTAAACCTTCAAATACCTGTACCTCCGTTATCTCAAATATTTTTTGTCAGTAATATTTTGTCAAACAACTTATTTTGGTGAGAGAGAAGAGTAAAAAATGCATAATAAAGAACTGACAAAAATGGTGCTATCAAATTTTCAATACGTTGAAATGATCGAATTTGTGTGTGCTTATACCTCTGAGTGAAAATAGGTTTTTGCCCCACAAAGGATCAACATCGTCAGGAATATAAGTTCTTCGATCGGTAAAGTGATCGAATTTTTTTATTGTGATTTCTTTGATCAGATCTGGATCTCTCAGCACAAGTGCTGGACTGTTAAACTGGTAACACCCACTATATCTAAAATGATTCCAAAGAATTATATAGGTATAGAATAATATATAATAAGTTCTCAATCAATCAAGTGTATAGTTTTTCACCTTTCAGATGGAAATTCTTTGTACATATTTTCAATAAAATGCACCACATTTTGACGTTTCAAGAGGACAAACCAGTTGAAAATGAAAGCGTCCCATGTATTCCTTTGTATTACCCCTTGTTTTCGCCAGTAATTCAAGGGTGATAGTAAGTAGTGGAAAATGTAAGCCACTACAACGGAAATTACGATCAGGTACAGAATCATAGCTGGTTTTCTATTTCTGAAATAATGATAAAATAAGTAAGGTTTAATACGATATGAAACCTTGAAAAAAACGCATATAATACATGCAATTACAATTATTCGGAAGCAGTTTAATGTGGTGTTTTATGGACGATCGAGTTCCGGTAGAGAGTTTCAAATATATGGAGTTATATTATTGTTATACAGGGTGTCCGTTTTTCGAGCTCCACTATGGGATCTCAGTTATTATAAGAGATACGAGGTCGGTTAAATTAGGGCAAGTTGCACATTTTCATGCTGAGCATTTATCTGCAAGAAAATTTGATTTGTCATTCTTAGTTTTCGAATTATTGGAAGAAAACGAAAATTTATAATCACCGTTTTCATTTTTCAAGCGGAAACCTAGACGTTTATTCTGACTGGGGTATTCTCGAGGCTCTTTCTTACAAGGAATCTGAATCTGTCATTGTATTTTCCATGACGTTCTTGATGCCAAAGTTACAACACACAACTTTGTTTTTGTTGGATTATTGCATTTTTGAAAAGTCTTTTCTTTTCTGATTACAATGATGTATCACACGATATGATCGAATCTTTCCTGTTGATCAGAATTGGGGAAAAACCATTTTTGCGAAGAGTGCTTTGGAAAGAACGCCAACAGTTTTGTTTAACAAGATGAATTTCGATACAGTTTATTTAAATTTGGATCTGGAACATTCACATTCTCGTCAAGCTCATCTACTTAAAAACTATGGTTTTGCATTAGGAACGACGTAATGAGCTTGAAGTTTTTATTCTTCGCAAAACAAAACAAATTTATAAAAGATGCTCGAATACTCCCCATCTTCTACTCTCAAACACAATTCTACGCGTTTCCTCAGATTCTGAATTGCTCGCGAGATGTACCGTCTTCTTATCTTAGTCCTGAAAGTGGTGATTATGGTTCTTGTCAGCTCATCAATATCGATCGGTACAGTTTTGAAAATCGAAGTCTCATAGTTTCTAATCCAGCGGAGAGAGATCAGGCAGGATCAGGTGACTGCGCTGGCCAACTTATGTCTCCTTTGTTGGAAATTACCTCGCCAGGGAACATATCTGACAGACACTCGGCAACCCTTCTTGTGCTATGTAGATAAGCTTAAGAATTCAACAGTTGTGTTCGCATATTCAATTGAACTTTTAAAATCCAGTTTGTTTAACAAAACTGTTGGCATTCCTCCCAAATACGATGACAGATTCAGATTCCTTGTGGAAAAGTGCCTCAAGAATGTCCTAGCCGAAAACGTCTAGGTCTTTTGGTTTTCGCTTGGAAAAATAAAAACGAAAATTACGAATTTTCTTGCAGATGAATGTTCAGAGAACATCGTGAGAACCAAGGAAAATAAGGTAGGAATTGGTGTTCTTCTTAAATTTCTGGAGGTTATATGCCTCGGGGAACACCTCCCTTGGCAATGTGTTCCAAAGCCTCGCTGTTCGTTGGATGAACGAGTCTTTGGAAAGAGATGTTCGGCAGGTCTTCAAAGTGACCACGAAGGGGTGCGAAGCCTCAACTCATCGGGTTAATCTCGCGGGGACTGCCAAGGGAGGAACAATTGTTGATATTTCAGAAGAGCATCGTCCATGAATATATCTATAAAATAGAGCCAGATCGCCAACTTTTCTACGGTGTTCCAGGGAAGTGAGTGAGTTTGTGAGCGAGGCATCACCCACGAGACGAATTGTCCTTTTTTAATCCAACAGTTTCAGGGTATGTTTGGGTGCTGCATTCCAAATATGGGAGCAGTATTTCAGGACAGGTCGGATCTGTGCCTTATAGATCATAAGCAGCTGACTGGAAGTGAAATAGCTCCTGGCCCGAAACAGAAAACCAAGTTTTTGGGATGCACTTTTAGCAATTGATCTCACGTGATTTTCCCAAGGAAGGTTATTGCTGGTAGTAATACCATGGTGGAGCCATATACGTATTAATAAACAATACGGATCATAACGGGTGCCAGGATGAAGCCAAAAATATGAAACAAATGAATATCCATAAGGATTTGGTGGCATGATACGTAGTCATCAAAGACATGCGTTTCGGTGGACAATGACGTTTACTAGCCTTTCAATCAATAAAGCAGTATGTGTCTGATCGTATCTCACTTTTCCTTATGGATAGTCATTTGTCTTCAAAAATCGGCTTCATGTTTCGCTATGGAAACAGATAGAGATTATCCGTATTGATTATTAATACGTATATGGGTGGAGCTCGAAAAACGGGCAGCTTATATAGGGTGAAAAGGAGTCGGGCAGTTAGTCGTAAATCATAAGACACTGGATTTGGACCAGTTCATTTCCTTGGAATTGGCAATCATTAGAAATTGCATGAAGTTTGCATATCTTGAACAATTTTATTTTTGAGGAAATGTCGACTTATTTTATTCAATTTATTCACTTATTTTGAGGGTTGATCGTGATGGGGCAATGGAATGATGGATAATAACAATTCTTTTAGACAATTTGAGAACAATTTATTTACTTTAAATTCAACGAGTTCATGTGGAATAAAGTAAAGTGCATAAGTATAAATAATTACCTATGATTAGTTTTATCAGTTTTTTTTTCTTACTCAAATCCACAGGTAGGTAAATATTTGTTTCGATGATGTTTGTTGAAGGTAAACAAGATAGCAGCGAAAATATCTCGAGTGGCTAATTAATATACGGAGATGTTCATACAGATAGTGGATCAAAATAAGAGATGTATCTACGATAGAAAGACAATTTTTTGATGCCGATGTTAAATTATTTTAGGTGGGTAATAGTTTGGTGCATCAATTAGATTTCTCATATAGGTAATGTTCCATTCATGGGATACAGGGTGTTGAAAATGTGTTCCGTCATAATAAGTTTTCAAAATTTTTCGTGTTTTTTTTGTCGATTCTGTTAGTTGCTTCAGTGATGATGATATTATATTTATTTGAAAAATATGTATGTACCTTGAAAATATCTTGAGAATGTTCACTAATATTTGTATTAACCATCAGTACACCAGAACATCACAGTCAACGTCAAGGTTGCAACTTATTTACAATGAATTTATAAATATGTGCATGTGGGAGGATGTGAACATACACACACCTATTATTGAAATTACTATACCTACCGTTACTACTAAAGACATCTGTTAGTCAAGATGAGAACTAATATTTCAATCATTTCAATTATTGTAGACTGCAATTTTTGATAATTGAGAACTTTAATTAGGCTATTTTATCGAACATTATCAAAATACTTTTAATTATGAAAAAAAATTCAACCATTCATGATCAATTTCATGAAAAAATGTCCAATTTTCAAAACTTGACAGCAAAAGCGATTGATGTGATCATCGAATTTTGGACGAGTTGTATAATAAATGGTATTATAAACATTAATTGGATGAAACCAAATTAGTGTAATTACCTGTTATTATGTTTTTTTTTTCGTTATCAGATAAAAGTATCAAGACTCTCACGAAGAGAAAGAGAGCGAATCGTTATCTGTTATTATAAATGCCGCTTCAATACATACCTACTCAAAATTTCATAACGATTGCACCCAAATGATAGGTTTATAGTACCAGAGATTATACACACAGTACTGATGATTCCTATTGGCTAGATCGCGGATTTAGCCTGAGAATTAGCAACGAATTTTCAGTAGGATCAAAGTCGCTTCATGTTATTACGACGAAACAAGTGAATGCCACTTAGCGAAACCCGTTTATTTCATTGAATTCATTGCGTAATTCAGTCGAGGACAATCATTGGTGGAAGTGACAGTGGAACACTGATATCGTTAACTTCATTTACTCCGGTAAGTGTCAAATTTGAAGTGGAATGATCTGATTCTAATTAGCAGCATAACGAGGAAAATATTGGGCAAACAGGCCGAAAGATTGACAGCCGATTTAAAGAACACTGATTTTCCGAATTTTGGAATTGTCATTTTCGCATTGTTTTTTACCGGGACAAAATCAACTGATCAACGCATTTTGATGTCATATATGAATGTTCAAAACAATGATGCGGATTAAAAAAAAAATAGAGTAACTATAATACATGATAGCTCATGTTATGTTCTCTCAAAAGTTTGCACAGTATTATCATCTAGCGGAAACATAAATTGAAATTGTATACAGGGTGTCAAAAATTTGTAATTTTCAAGAATTCTAATACGAATAAAGGTATGTTCTGAAAATAATCAGCATGGAATTATCGATATATATCCATTGAGTGAATACATTTAAAAAGAAGACATCATGAATCAAAAGCTCGATTGAAATTGTTTAATTTAAACGGACATCTATACAGGGTGGCCCACGGTGGATGGCCTATTAGAAGTATCTGGTGTCGCGTCAATTGGACGTGGAAAATTGGACGCACGACTATTGGTCGCAGTCAATTGGACGCGGCGACAATTGGACGCGGCGACAATTGGACGCGGCGACAATTGGACGCGGCGACAATTAGACGCGGCGTCAATTAGACGCGGCGACAATTCGACGCGGCGACAATTCGACGCGGCGACAATTCGACGCGGCGACAATTGGACGCATGCGTAAATAAAAATAATTTTATAATTCCAATGAAATTCATTGTATAAAATATGAAATACTGATGGGCTTATATCCATAATTATAACAAATACCTATGGCCTCGTTTGACAATTATTTTCCTATCTCATATCGTAATATGAATTTACGATACGAATATAGTACAATATTTTACCTACTACCAAAAACGCTGATTATTTAATCAAATATGAGGGTTGGGTTAGGTTAGGTTAGGTTAGGTTGGGTTAGGTTAGGTTAGGTTAGGTGTTATATTATAGATATGAGCCCTGCATATTCCATGCAATAAATTTCATTGGAATTATAAAATTATTTTTATTTTCGCATGCGCTCAATTGTCGCCGCGTCCAATTTTCGTCGCGTCCAATTGTCGCCGCGTCCAATTGTCGCCGCGTCCAATTGTCGCCGCGTCCAATTGTCGCCGCGTCAAATTATCCGCGTCCAATTGACCACGTCCAATTGTCGGTAATCCGAAGTATCTAGAGAACGAAAAGACAGAACATTCTGAAAATTGGAATGCTTTGATAATTGAACATTCTCTATCCGTCTAAAATATTTTCATAGATACAGTGTTGCCACTTCTATCAGATACAACTAGCAACTTCGTTATTTTAAATGGAGCACCCTGTATTTTATTGCATTTTTAGATTCTTCCTGAAGAGCTGATTTCATCAAAGCATCACACTTGGGGTCTAGCAGGAATGATTACAGAGATATAGGGTGTTCAAAATCGAGATTTTTCAATTTTAGGATTTTTTTGTGTCGAAACTATTCATTATCGATCAAAACGGCTTACATGTCCCTATCTTAACTTTTGATTTACTATCTACTGACATTTATTTGGAACAGATACAGGGTGATCAGAATTCAGAATCTTGAAGCACCCTGTATACTGATATTATAAAGAGGAAATATTTGATTGTTTAATTGTTTGTTTGTATTGAATAGGCTCCGAAACTACTGCATCTATTTGGCTGAAAATTGGTGGGAAGGTAGCTTAGAATCAGGAGAAGGTTATAGGATACTTTTTAACCCGGTACCATTAGGAAATTCAAGATGGCGGATCTAAATATATTGGGCAAGTTATGTAATTATGGTCCGATTCTATTCAGAATTGGTGTCTGAGGGTTTTCGGGGTCGGAGATTATGAATCTTTCGTCAGAATTTGAAAATTCTGTCGGAATTTGAAAATTCAAGATGGCGGAACCAATATGGCGGACTAGTTTTGTAATTATAATCCGATTCTTTTCAAAATTGGTACCTATGGGTGTTCGTGATCAGGAATTATGATTCCTTCGACAAAATCAAGAAATTCGAGATGGCGGATCCAAAATTGCGGATTTTGTAATCAGGATCCAATTTTATTCAAATTTGGTATATGGTGGTTCTCGGGGTCGGAGATTATGATTCTTTTCTTAAAATTGGTAAATTCAAGATGGCGGACCCAATATGGCAAACGTGTATTGTATAATTATGATCCAACTCTCTTCAAAATTGTTATCTGGGTGTTTTCGGGGTCGGAGATTATGATTCTTTCACACGCTTTTAAAGAAAGCGAAACTAAAAAGAAGTAGAAAATAAAATTATAATAGTGTCTTGATGAATACTGAACTGAAACACTATATTATAGAAATAATGTATATAGTAAAACAACGTTTGCGAGTTCTGCTAGTTTGAAATAAAGTCGTTAATTGTCGTTGGCTCGGTCTCTACATCGAATAACATTCTTGACGGCCAGAGTTCAAGTGGATTCATCATTCAATTACTGTTTTTTAATTTGTCAGATTATGATAAATAAATGAGTTCAAACCATTAATTGCTAGTAGTTCCTGTTTAAATTGAATAATGCCGAAAATATAATAGTTATTTATGTATCAAGGGCGTAAAATAGACTTTTATGGACCGTATAGCGGTTAAGTAATAACACGTCTAGGTCCATAAAAGCAAGTTAAGCCCGAAATACATAGGTACACTTCATGAACGACCAGTATATTCGATTTTTCATTGTGAATATCTCTTTTTCTACAAGCGTGCGTGATTCACCCTATACCCGCACGCAATTTAGTTTGGGAAGTGTCATTTTCCCGCAAGAGTGCGGGAAAATTTTCCCACACTAGTGCGGGAAAACAAAGATATGATAAAATCACTAGTAATGTAAGTGATTGGTGATGGAATAAATATAAAAATCCCCCTATAGATTTGGATTGATCGGACGGTAAACGTCAATTTGTCATGCCAATCAAACCTCAAATAAGTTTGAAATTGTCGAAGTGACAGACACAGCGTTACTGTCATTTTCGATTCAGTGGAAATGTCACAATGTGATCAAAAACTTCTAGCTATAGGAATTTGATACAGATGCGTTATCACCAACGAAGTCTTAAGAAAGGTATGAGAAGCTATACACGCGTTTTATTGAATGGTGCAACAATAAAAAAATGAAAAAACCGAATGAAGAATAGGTATTTTTGGCTCATTTCATAGAAGTGTTTGCAACCTAGAGACCAAACTCCTAATGGGCCTGCTGGCTTCCGCAATGAACCAACATAATGCGTCAAACTGTAAGTTCACAATAGCTATTACTAATAATTAATATAGATAGAGAATATATATCTCTTGTTAGTTGTTTCTATTTGCTTGAATAATCAATTGAACGATTCAATCAATTTCCTACGCTTGTAGAAAAAATATTGTTCCTAACTCATGCGGAAAGTGTCTTTCCCGCACTCGACTGCTTGCCCGAACTCCGCTTCGCGTCGTTCGTGTCAACGGCAGTCACGTGCGGGAAAGAATCACTTTCCGCACTTAATGTTAGGAAAATTACTATTACCTCTCCAGAACGATAGAAAAATCCATCATGGCTGCAGTGAGAACATTGGTGGAATCGACTTTACCATGGTAACTCAGACAATTTTTTGATTTAGGAGTAGACTATTATATTTGCTGTCAATCAATGTCATCACAGATAACTCATTTTGGGTTCGATCATATCATTCATTTGCATCACAGAAATATCAAGAAAACTGTAATATTAGATATAAGGAACCATCACAACTGAAACATCAATGTCCTGAGTTGTTTTTACGCCCGGTCGTGCATACAATTTATTGATGATGGTATATATCGTGGGAATGCTTGACAAAATATCAAACTTGATATAATGATACATTCAAGGAGGTCCAAAAATAAAGTAGAAGAAACAAATCAAATCAGTGAAGTATAGATGCAATAATTCTGAATACATGAAAAATTCTAAAATTATCTTCCAATCAGTAGACCTTACAAACGAGGTGTCACATGGCCTCTGTTTGTATTTGAAAAAATCGTCCATCACGTCATTACTCCAACATCGGTGACGTAACATCTCTCATATGAATATCATGAGATGGAGCTTCAAAAATGAAAACTCACGTGTTTTTGGAACAGTGGAATTGATATAACATGTTCGCAATAGTAATTATGCATGTATTCATAGCAGTGTTTTTCTGTTCAATGTCAAACAACTGAATGATGATTGTCGATCGAAATCACATAACAATATTATCCATGACTCATTTTATATCGCATAAAATAGATGCATTAAAAAATTAACAATGGGAGTTTATTATGGTGTTGATTCAATATATTTCTTAATAATATCCATTAATATCACCAACATTATCAGTTTTCTACAAGGAAAACACAGTACCCTCCATATCGCCTTCTCTTCCAGGGCTCCAATACCATAGCCATCTGGCAAATCAGAAACGAAAGAGGGAGAAATGTTGACAACATAAATATGGACTTGGCAACAATTGTCGAATGGGGATCCAATAACTTGGTAGATTTCAATGCAAACAAAACACAAGCATGCCTTTTCTCTATAGAAAAGCCGATCTCACTGTGCCCAACATAAGCTTGTCAGGAGTAACCATCATACCTTTGAACACATAAATTTCGATGCTTGGTATAACTATCAGCAATAACCTTTCTTGGGAAAATCATGTGAGATCAATTGCTAAAAGTGCATCCCAAAAACTTGGTTTTCTGTTTCTATTTCACTTCCAGTCAGCTGCTTATGATCTATAAGACAAAGACCCGACCTGTCCTGGAATACTGTTCCCATATTTGGAGTGCAGCACCCAAACATACCCTGAAATTGTTGGATTCTGTCCAAAAGAGGGCAATTCGTCTCGTGGGTGATGCCTCGCTCACAAACTCACTCACTTCTCTGGAACACCGTAGAAAAGTTGGCGATCTGGCTTTACTTTTTAGATATTTTCATGAACAATGCTTTTATGAAATATCAACAATTGTTCCTCCCTTGGCAGTCCCCGCAAGATCAACTCGTCGAGTTGAGGCTTCGCACCCGTTCGTGGTCACTTTGGAGACCTGCAGAACATCTCTTTCCAAAGACTCGTTCATCCAACGAACAGCGAGGCTCTGGAACACATTGCCAAGGCAGGTGTTTCCCGAGACATATAACCTCCAGAAATTCAAGAAAAACACCAATTCTTGCCTTATTTCTCTTGGTCCTCACGATATGTTCTCTGAACATTACAGGATATCCCTTTTCGTGTGAACCAGAAAATAAAAAACAAAACTATTTTTTACAGGATAAACGAATTAATAATGTTACAACTCATCATCGGAGCGGCAGTTCTTGTCGCTCTGTTTTACTACATCGCAATCAGACCCATGAGCTATTGGAAGAATCTTGGTATCAAGCAGAGCAGTCCCAAATGGTTGGTGGGAGACAATTTCGGTACCTTATTCAAGACGGAAAGCTTCGCCGGAATGGTCAAACGACTCTATAATCAATGCCCTGAAGCTACCAGGTAAGCAAATGTCGATGGTTATAGAATGTCCAAATTATGGTTTAAGCCACAGTCCAACGATCATTTGAGTGACACACCCTAAGAACTGTTTACTTGTTCCTAATGGACGACAGTTTGGGAGATGAATATTTAATAGATCTTGAATGCATAGAAACTTAACTCAAGAACATAAACCTTAGCTTTATTGTTAAATGAGATAGTTCTATTCCACATTTTTTTGGCATAAGCCGAATTCTAGCGTTTTTGAACAGTGATATTTGAAAAAAAAAACACCTAAAAGCACTCTAGGGATCTGTGACCTAAGCTACAATTATTTCATAATAGTTTGTGATGCATCAGCTGCTCCTTTTTCATAAAAATTATGCCTAAATCATATAATTTTATGTTGCTTCGGTCATTTTCATAATGTGAAGATGGAGGACGAACACATGTTCATGTTCTGTTAGATATTTTATTTCAATAATTTCCAAAAATGGTTATTGATACGCCTCAGTTCTCAAATGTAAGATTTATTTTTCAGATATTTTGGGATGTACCAGTTTACCCTGCCTACGTTGATGATCAAAGATCCGGACTTGCTCAAACAAATCACTGTGAAAGATTTCGAATATTTCATGGACCACAGGGTTTTCATCCCGGAAGATGCTGACCCACTATGGGGAAAGAATTTATTCGCATTAACAGGTAAAATTCCAGTTCTACACATGATGTATTAATTTTCGTGTACACAAACTCTGATATTTCAAAAGGAACACCCTATATTTCTTTGCATTTTTAGATTCTCTCTGAAGAGCTGATTTCATCGATGCATCACACTCGGGGTCTAACAGGAATGATTACAGATATCGAGATATTTCAACTTTAGGATTTTTTTGTGTCGAAACTATTCATTATCGGTCAAAACGGCTTCCATTTCAAGATTCAGTATTCTGATCACTCTGCATGAAAGCCGTTATGTTTGACCGATGAGGAATATAGTTTCGACACAAAAAAATCTTAAAGTTGAAAAATGTCGATTTTGAGTATGAGATATCGATGAATTCGCAGCTCCTCAGAGAGAAAAATGTAATAAAATACAGGGTGATCTATATGAAATAACAAAGTTGTTGCTACTTTTCGATAGAAATGGCAACACTGCATTGTCAAAAATATTAATTTTAGATCGATAGACTACTTGCGTAACTAAATTTTCAAAATTATACTATTTCCTGTTGTTCGTAAACTTCTAGTAATCGACCGTGACCGACCCTGTATAATGCAGATATTTTATTAAAATGCGAGTGAAAATAGAAGAATATAGAATTATATTTTGCAATGCTCAGGTAAAAATAATCTTCCATTGTTGGTATATTATACAAATTGAGGTATTTTATACCTCTTAAATACTAGGTACTTGACATCGATTTATTTCAGTTTGATTTTCTCTAAATTGCAGTATCTGATATCGATCTGAGCAAAATTTGTTTTGAAACCTTTGAAATCTCTTCGAAATGAAGCCATTAAATGTATTCATAAAGCACCATTTCTGGAATCAACATCTAGACTATACAAACCAAGGGATCAGCTAGATTTTGACTCTCTCTTCAAAATGAAAGTATATGCATTTTCATCCAGTTCACTGAAAATAAGAGAAAGCACTCGAATTTTACTTTCAATATCAATTCTTATATCCATGAGCATCACACCAGACAAAGTACATTTGAAAATTGTCAAAATAAAAAACTCAATTTGGAAAAGAATCATTATATTTTTGTGGATTGAATATTTATAATAGTCTACTCAACAGAATAACGTTCGTCACAAAATTCAAGAGTGACCTGAAGAAATATATTGCCTCAATTGATTCTGATTGAACTGTTTATCTTTCATTTCATTGGTCATAAGTAGGTATTTGATTTTTTTGTATCCATCTATAAACTTGTTTTTTTTGTGACGGGAAAAAAGTTTGGCATTTCATCTCTGTTGGCAGGTTATAAAATTTCACTTTTCATACCTAAATTACTTTTTTCCCGTGGGAAAAAAGTGAGTACTTTTTTCCCGGATATACAGTGTGTCCACCTTAAGGACTTACTACCCCTGTAAAATCGTTTATATCCGACCAATTCCAAAAAACCTTTTTTGGATGGATAGGTATTTGAAATGCCCATCCAACGAGAGAGTGATCTAATTCTTGGACTGTTATCGTGGCCAACTGCGACAAATTTCAATGACCCATATTCCAGACAGTACTATTAGGGATTTTTTTCCACGAAACTTGATGATGGATTCTGAATTAGTACCACTTGAAATATACCTGTACCGATTTTCATCATCATAAAACACAGGGTGTCCGAAAAAACGAATCATCATTTTCTTCAAATAGGTGATCAGCAAAAAATGTAGTTCTGTGGTTTTTCTAGAAAGAAATAATCACAAATTATCATTGAGGATTATTCCAAATATACCTGTACCAATTTTCGTCATTTGAATATACAATGTGTCTGAGAAAAAAATCAAGAAGGATAGGTAAGCAATATTTTTCAACCTGATGATTCTTCACTCAAAATAGAAAAGATGAATCAGGATCACTTGGATCATACCTGTACCGATTTTTATAAATAACTATTGTTCCTTGGGATTAATAAACATCAATATAATTATTATTATTATCATTTTAATCGAGCTTGGAACGTCTTCCGAGGGCTCCAATTATTGAAAATATACTAAATACACCTCGTTTTTTTGGCGCATGCGTGATATTTTTAGGACAAAGATGGAAGAACATGAGACCGATTCTGAGCCCCTCTTTCACCAGCAGCAAGATGCGGTCCATGTTCGTGCTGATGTCCGAGTGCTCGGAGACATTCGTCAAACATTTCTTGGACAAGAACGACGACGTCACCGAAATCGAGATGAAAGACATGTTCACCCGATTCACCAACGACGTCATAGCGACGACGGCCTTCGGGGTCAAGGTCGACTCGCTGGCCAAGCCGAAGAACGACTTTTACTTGATGGGAAAGTCGGCCACGGACTTTTCCGGGATATGGAAGAACCTCAAGTTTTTCGGGTACATGGTCATTCCCGGATTTTTCAAGGTAAGTGATCCAGTAGTTGGATTTTGTGTCAATCGGGTCAGTTCAATCTTTTTCAACTATAGGAAAAAATCAAGCAGGATAAATTTCCTAGATATTATTTTCACACTCTGTATGGTATTTGAGTTTGAATTTTCTTCAGTAAGAGGAGTTGGGAAAGGTTATTCTCCAGGGTCAATTTGATAAATAAGTGGGTAGGTATAGGTAGAGTGACAGAGTGACGACAATAGTGATGCACTTTTTGATAGGTTAAACCTCTAATATGGAGGTGCATTCACCTGTCTCTCTTCATTCAGTTCTGTGTGCATTCTATTTCACTTTATCAATGCTTTGTATCTGTTTTTTGCTCTTTGGACACAAAACATCCAACAATCAGACATAAGACTCTATACGACAGTACCTTGATCAGATTCCGTCTTTTGGAACTCGTCTCAGATTATTTAGATGATGAAATGAAAGATCAAATATCTAAACCTAATATCAGGTGGGCACTTCGAAGGCGCAAATTTATTACTGCATGGGAGATACCCTTCAGATTTTAAGCTATTCAGTGACTTGGTCAAGAATGACATTCCGGGAATGACAGCCATCTATTGTCGTCACTATATGTAATATTCTTATGCTGTTTCATTATTGGTCAGATGATCTTCCATTCCCACTCATGAAGCAAGTTTGTTGAGGCATCAAATTGAATGTTTCATTTGACCTAACAGGACGGCGCCATATGTTATATTCATCAATTTGTGACTTGTTTGAGCAACCAGCTTGTTGAGATATTTCTTATACTCCATTACAAAACAGCATGTAAATTTTGGCTAGGCTATAGGGACTTGGCAATGCTGTGCTAAGCGCTGAGAGCTGATTAGACAACGCCCACAATCCTGTGTTGTCACGTTTACCGGACGAAATCTCCTCTAATGTGAACACAAACTCATCATATGATATAAGACACAACATATGAGAGGAAAAATTACAAGACAATGGATGTTTTAGAGCTAATTAAGAATATTACCAATAGATGATTGAGAATTCATGAATTATTGAATAAATAGTATTTCTGGAGTTACCATTCGTATTTCAACATGGCAATTAACTGTGCTATATATGGTCTCCCCTACTTACAGAATCGTCACGTAAGTTTTAATTTGCGGTAAATTTCTAGCCGTTTGAAATTGATTTTATTATTGATGAATAAAAGCGAACTTAAAATCGACCTAAAAAATCTAGAAAAATATGGAATTGAAAGGTAATTGAGTAATATGATTCTATTCAAAGAATAAAAAAATAGTCCATCTCGCCTATTCTCTCAATTTTTTGGCATTAGAATGAGAGGCTATATATATGCTCCATAGTCAACTTATTTTTCTATATAGGCAAGAAAGAGGTTCTGCTTCATAAGTAAAATCCTTGATTATATTATACAATGCTTCATAAGTAAAATTCCTGATTTTATACACACACCAAGATGAGTCATCCTTATGAGAGCAATGAAGGCAGAAATTCTATTGATGAGTATGTGGCGGTATCTCTATATATGATCGAAAGGGTAGACTACTTTTTGTTGAGTAGTGAAGGATAGGGATCGGTAATGCAGAATATACTCGACATTTCTTTTTACTTAGATGTTTTATGCAAGAAGGAATGTCACATCAAAAGGGCCATATTATAGCAGCGGTTCGACGAGTGCGTAATTCCATGAGTGCGTAATTGCTTTACAACACGCATTACGTTTTTTTTATATTCTCAAATGATTATTTCATGATAGGGAAGATAATAAAAGGCATAGTAGGATAACCAAATGTATTTTTTAGTTCTTCAAAATCGGCCTGTTCGAGAAGTCAGTATCACATTTTTTTATTGATCTGATAAACGACACAGTCAAAACCCGAGAAGAAAAACATATTGTGCGACCAGACGTGATACATTTGCTGATGGAAGCAAGAAAAGGAATCCAGCAGAAAGAAGAATCTAACGTACCTGATACTGGATTCGCTACTGTACAAGAAGCCGATTTAGGTAAATATGATCACAATTAATAATGGATCTAGGATCAAAACCCGTAGAAATATCTCATGGGAAAAGTTTCCTATGGCAAAATAACCTCTGAAAAAAATCTCCTATGGAAAGAAATGTCCCATGCAAAAATCTCTTAGGAGGTCAATTCTCGGAAACAAATTTTCTGGAGAAATCTAAGAAGTATATTCTTCATTCTCTCTTATTCTATATCTTTCTTTCCTCTCTTTGTCTCCTCTCATTTATCTCATACTTTTCATCTCTCTCATTCTTTTTTATACCTCTTGCCCATTGTCTGATAAACTTGGAGAAAAAATCTAATGAGCTGGAGTTCCAGCTCACTAGATTCTTTCTCCATATTTAGCAGACAATGCTCTTGTCTATTTCTACGCTCCTATCTCATTTCACTCTACCGGGTAATAGAGGGTATCGGGCCACGAAACTTCTGAATTCGTGAACGGATTTTTCTGAAATTAGGTACAGTTATATAAGCAACCATTTCAGATTTGATCACATCACATTCCAAAATGGCGGACTTCCGGTTTTTGTGGAAATACCAACAACTTTGTTTTTTCAAATGAAATACCCTGTATATTTTCACATATTCAAGTTCAAAAGGTCAGTGCAATGTTTATGTCATGAATGTAATTTTTTCGAAAAAATTCAAATTAAAATCGTTTTTTATTTTACCTCGTGGTCGTCGTCGAAGTTCAATAATTCAAAAATGTTTACGAATATCAATATGGATGTTAATTGAGATAAAAGATTTTCGTGTTTAGATTTTTCACCGAATGGCCTAAAAGTATAATGCTGGGGTGTTCCATATGAAAAACTTGAATTTCATAATTATGACAACAGTTATTTTTTTCGTCATCTGCAGATGACGTTTTTTTTGACAAAATGACGAAATGATCGGGATATAGTCATCAATATTATAGGAGTTGAAAGAGGTTACAGGGATGCTTGAAAAAATGTGCTAATATACAGGGCATTCCATTTAAAAGAAGTGATCCTGACCCTTTAACTTTTTTTTATTATTGACCTTTGTTGTCTTATTCACATTCTTTTTTGAATCGAGTTTCTAGTTATCATAGAACTCGAGCAATTGAGCTCCGACGCACTCATACCCCACCCTGTATACATTCAAATATCAACAACTAGTTATTCATGAATTTCCTTAGTTGCAGTTCAAATAATTCAAAGTTTTTCGGAAAAATGACATTGAACATAAAGATTATACACTTGTTCTGACCTGTTGAACTTGAATATGTAAAAATATACAGGGTGTTCCACTTGAGAAAACAAAGTTGCTGTTATTTCCAGGAAAACCGGAAGTCCGCCATATTGGAATGGTAGTTTATATAACTACCAAATTTTAGAAAAATCCATGTACGAATGCAAAAGTAACAGGAGTGGCACAATACCATATATGTGTCACCCGGCGGTATATCCACTGTTTCAACTCCGATTTCATAACAACCACCGCTCTTTGCTCTTTGATCTTTTCTGTAACATCTCACATATTTCTCATCTCTCTCTTCATCTTTTCCTGTCTTTTCAGCTTTTCTCTAAATACTTATTTCTCTTTTCTCTCATCCTCTTCTGTACTCTTTGTCGTCTGCTGTCTTTCTTTTCTCTTTTCCTTCTTTCTTTTTCTTCTTTTTTCTATCTCTTCTCTTTTCCTCTCTTTCTCTATCCCTCATATATATATCTCCGCGTCTTCTCTGATCTATCTATTATACCTCTCTCCTCTCACTCATCTCTCTCCCTCTTTTTATTCATTATACCCTCCTAACTCTTTTCTTTCTCTATCCTCTCTCCTCGCACTTTCATTTCTCTTCTTCTTTCTGTACCTACCTTACCTAACCTATCACCTAATTTTTTTTAAAATGATATTCCAAAAGCAACATGTTTCCAAAATACATATGTCGAATGGAATAATTGTTTAGAGGGACCTTTTATTTGAATCTGTTGAATAATATACTAGAGAAAAAAAATTAAAAATCGTTGTCTCAGGTAAAGCGGGCGGCGCAGTGAAAGAAATCACCAACTTGGACATCACCGCGCAGGCGCTGATCTTCTTCTTCGCCGGCTTCGACACCGTCTCATCGCTCATGTGCTTCATGGCGTACGAGTTGGCCGTCAATCCCGATATTCAGACCAGGCTCAGGCAGGAGATCAGGGAGACGTTGGACGAGTGCAACGGGAAACTGACGTACGAGGCGCTACTGAAAATGAAGTACATGGACATGGTTGTCTCAGGTGAGATATTTCGTCCAGATGTTTTCCTACATCTTTTTTTTAATGTTCTGGTTCCCACGTAACGGGTTATCCTGTAATGATCAGAGAACATCGTGAGAACCAAGGGAAATAATAAGGTAGGAATTGGTGTTTTACATAAATTTATGGAGAATATATGCCTCGGGGAACACCTCCCTTGGCATTGTGTTCCAAAGCCTCGTTGTTCGTTGGATGAACGAGTCTTTGGAAAGAGATGTTCTGCAGGTCTCCAAAGTGACCACGAAGGGGTGCGAAGCCTCAACTCGACGGTTTAATCTCGCGGGGACTGCCAAGGGAGGAACAATTGTTGATATTTCAGAAGAGCATCGTCCATGAAAATATCTATAAAATAGAGCCAGATCGCCAACTTTTCTACGGTGTTCCAGAAAAGTGAGTGAGTTTGTGAGCGAGGCATTACCCATGAGACGAATTGTCCTTTTTTGGACAGAATCCAACAGTTTTAGGGTATGTTTGGGTGCTGCACTCCAAATATGGGAACAGTATTCCAGGACTGGTCGGATCAGTGCCTTATAGACCATAAGCAGCTGACTGGAAGTGAAATAGCTCCTGGCCCGAAACAGAAAACCAAGTTTTTGGGATGCACTTTTAGCAATTGATCTCACGTGATTTTCCCAAGAAAGGTTATTGCTGATAGTAAAACCAATCACCGAAATGGATGTCTTCAAAGGTATGGTTACTCCTGACAAGCTTATGTTGCGCACAGTGAGATCGGCTTTTCTAGAGGAAAGGCATGCTTGTGTTTTGTTTGCATTGAAATCTACCAAGTTATTGGATCCCCATTCGAAAACTGTTGCCAAGTCAATATTCATGTTGTCAACATTTCTTCCTCGTTCGTTTCTGATTTGGCTGGCTGGTATTGGAGCCCTAAAAAAGAAGGCGGTATGGAGGGTCCTATCATCCGCGAAGCTGTGTACTGGACATGAAGTTGCTTCCAACAAATCGTTGATATGGAGTAGGAATAGTGTTGGTGCTAGAATTGATCCTTGCGGAATACCAGCATTCCTGATAAGCGAGTCAGAGGAAACTCCGTCGACTACTACATGGAGAGACCTGTTTGAGAGAAAACTAACTAGCAGAGAACATAGCTGGGGAGGCAAGCCATAAGATGGAAGCTTGGCGAGGAGTCCGTGGTGCCAGACTCGACTGTCAAGGAACTGCACTTTTCAAATATATTTTGTGTACCTAAAGTGTACAATTTCTCAATATCTAAATACTGTTTCATCATTTCACGGAGAAGTGTGAAAAAAGTACCCTTTTTTTCACAGTTGTTGCTAGTCGATGGGATAATAAATTGCTTGCGTGAAATGGGTCCATACAATGCGTTGTTGGTAGACTCTGTTTTGTTCGACAAACAAGTATGTTCCAACATAATTTGTATTTCATTTATATGTCACTTATTTCATTTGTATGTCACTTGTATTTCTGAATATCCTAATAAATTCCAGGAAGCGTCACTTGTATTTCAGCATAGTCAGCTGAATTTCAGCAAGCGATAATTGTATTGCAGAATGGTCATCAGTTCAACTTCAGAAAACACATTTCAGAAAGCGTCCCTTATTGTATTTCAGAATAGTCAGTTAAGTTTCTGTGTTAAAATTTCAGAAAGCGTCATGTGTATTTCAAAATAGTCAGTGGAATTTCAGAAAAAGTCATCGGTATTTCAGAATAGTCAACTGAACTCCAGAAAGCGTCATTTGTGTTTCAAAAATGGTCAGTTATTGTATTTCAGAATCGTCAGTTGAATATCAGAAAACGTCATTTGTATTTCAGAACAGTCAACTGAACTTCAAAAAGCGTCATTTTTGTTTCGAACAGCGTCACTTGTATTTCAGAATAATCAACGACTGTACTCCAGAAATGCGTCATTTATATTTCAAAAATCGTCACTTGTATTTCGGAATAGTCAGTTGAATATCAGAAAACTTCATTTGTATTTCAGAATAGTCAACTGAACTTTAAAAAGCGTCATTTTTGTTTGAAAAAGCGTCACTTGTATTTCAGAATAATCAACGACTGAACTCCAGAAAGCGTCATTTGTATTTCAAAACCCGTCACTTTGTATTTCAGAATAGTCAGTCGAATATCAGAAAACTTCATTTGTATTTCAGAATAGTCAACTGAACTTTAAAAAGCGTCATTTTTGTTTGAAAAAGCGTCACTTGTATTTCAGAATAATCAACGACTGAACTCCAGAAAGCGTCATTTGTATTTCAAAACCCGTCACTTTGTATTTCAGAATAGTCAGTCGAATATCAGAAAACTTCATTTGTATTTCAGAATAGTCAACTGAACTTTAAAAAGCGTCATTTTTGTATGAAAAAGCGTCACTTGTATTTCAGAATAATCAACGACTGAACTCCAGAAAGCGTCATTTGTATTTCAAAACCCGTCACTTTGTATTCCAGAATAGTCAGTCGAATATCAGAAAACTTCATTTGTATTTCAGAATAGTCAACTGAACTTTAAAAAGCGTCATTTTTGTTTGAAAAAGCGTCACTTGTATTTCAGAATAATCAACGACTGAACTCCAGAAAGCGTCATTTGTATTTCAAAACCCGTCACTTTGTATTTCAGAATAGTCAGTCGAATATCAGAAAACTTCATTTGTATTTCAGAATAGTCAACTGAACTTTAAAAAGCGTCATTTTTGTTTGAAAAAGCGTCACTTGTATTTCAGAATAATCAACGACTGAACTCCAGAAAGCGTCATTTGTATTTCAAAAACCGTCACTTATATTTCAGAATAGTCAGTTGGAATATCAGAAAACTCCATTTGTATTTCAGAATAGTCAACTGAACTTCAAAAAGCGTCATTTTTGTTTCAAAAAGCGTCACTTGTATTTGAGAATAATCAACGACTGAACTCCAGAAATGCGTCATTTGTATTTCAAAAACCGTCACTTTTATTTCAGAATAGTCAGTTGGAATATCAGAAAACTTCATTTGTATTTCAGAATAGTCAACTGAACTTCAAAAAGCGTCATTTTTGTTTCAAAAAGCGTCACTTGTATTTGAGAATAATCAACTACTGAACTCCAGAAAGCGTCATTTGTATTTCAAAAACCGTCACTTATATTTCAGAATAGTCAGTTGGAATATCAGAAAACTCCATTTGTATTTCAGAATAGTCAACTGAACTTCAAAAAGCGTCATTTTTGTTTCAAAAAGCTTCACTTGTATTTGAGAATAATCAACGACTGAACTCCAGAAATGCGTCATTTGTATTTCAAAAACCGTCACTTTTATTTCAGAATAGTCAGTTGGAATATCAGAAAACTTCATTTGTATTTCAGAATAGTCAACTGAACTTCAAAAAGCGTCATTTTTGTTTGAAACAGCGTCACTTGTATTTCAGAATAATCAACGACTGAACTCCAGAAATGCGTCATTTGTATTTCAAAAACCGTCACTTGTATTTCAGAATAGTCAGTTGAATATCAGAACGAGTCATTTGTATTTCAGAATAGTCATCAATTATTATTGTATTTGATCATTTTACAGTCTAATACTGGGTGATATTCTTTGTTATCATGCTGTGTGAACAGCTGTAAATTTCAGTAAGAGTGGAAAATATGTATTTTTGTTTTGTTTCAGAGACTTTGAGGAAATGGCCTGGAGCCATAGCGGTCGACAGGATCTGTACCAAGCCCTACACCATCGAGCCCACCCTTCCCGGCGAAAAGCCGGTCCATATAAAAAAGGGCACGGTCATGTGGCTGCCCATCATCGCCATACACAACGACCCCAAGTTTTATCCTAACCCGGACAAATTCGACCCGGAGCGGTTCAGCGAGGAAAATAAGGGCGATATCAACCCTTATGCCTATTTGCCCTTCGGTTTGGGCCCTAGGAACTGCATAGGGTCGCGGTTCGCCCTGCTGGAGAACAAAACTGTCATGTTCCACATTTTGAGGCATTTTGAATTTGTGCCTACTGGGAAGTCCAGGATTCCGCTGACGTTGTCGAAGAGGAGTTTCAATTTGCTGGCTGAAGGCGGGTTTTGGTTCGGGCTGAAACGAGTGAAGAATTAGGAAAGAGACTTTGAGGTTAGGAACCTGCTACTTGTTGGCAATGGCCAATTTTATAAGTGATAGATATTGGAACACATTTTTAGTCAGTATTTTGCTCGGTATTTTGTAACCAATTATATATTTCCGATCAAAATTATTATAATTTCTGTAGAATATTTTACAGAATTTTGGATCTTTACCACATAATATATAACAAGAATTGTGATCAATTCATCTACGTACATAAACGCATGAATTAAAGCGATATGTGACAATTTTAACCTCCAGATGATTTCTATGTGTATTTACTATACATTTTGATAGTAATAATACAAGTCTTATTTTAATAAACGTGCTTTACCAAAACCTTTTGTGTTCTTTTCAACATATTCAATATACAGTATGATGCAAATGTATGGAATGAATTCATTATTTCAGAAATGGGCGACATTTGAAGAAATTCCAAAAACACGTGAGTTTTAATTTTTGAAGCCTCATCTCATGACATTCATATGAGAGATGTTACGTCACCGGTGTTGGAGTAATGACGTAATGGACGGTTTTTTTAAATACAAACAGGGGTCATGTGACACCTCGTTTGAAAGGTCTACTGATCGTCTATCCAATAGTCAAAATTTTGCAAAAGAAGATTGAAATCAAAATAGATTATCATTTGGTTAACTGAATCTTGCAGAGATCTTCTACTGAGAATTGAACATCGAAGGGTCGTCTAGTTGAAAAAATACATCGATAAAAAAGTTCTGAACTCTACTTTTTGGATTTTTTTCGGAAGTCGTCTTGTTTTGAAATGAATTTCTTCCATACATTTGCATCATACTGTATATGGATGAATTGAAATTATTTCCATAGTGCAGAACATGTATATGTTCGTAAAAAAAACAAGGATAAAAATTACAATTTGCCGAAAAGTTTTAAACAGGGTGTGGGAATATGAACTCTCTGTTTTCTTCTATCTGCCCGGTCACTCGATCAGATTCCCATATCCAAAAAAGAATTTTCACTTTTTTCCTACTGTGAAGAGACTCGAATATGGCTCTGCTGGGTGGACGTAGTCAATTTGCTTTTAGATTCCTCCGTGCCAAATTTGAAGGCTGTACAATTCCGAATTTTTTTACCGAAAAATAAACTAACCCCCTTGCTCTTTTTTCGAGTTCGAATAACAATTAGGATTGGTTGAAAACTTGAATACAGGGTATTCTCGATGTGCTGAACACGAATATGAACTCTGTTTTCCTCTATCTGCCCTAGTTGGTCAGTTATTTCGAATATTCTGGCGACTGCTCGGTCACTTGGATTCCCATACAAAAAATCATTACTTTTTTCTGTGAAGAGAGTCGAATGGCTCTGCGGGGACGTAGACAATTGCATTAGAGTCCTCTGTGCCACATTTGAAGGCTCTCTGAAAACTTGAATACAGGGTATTCTCGATGTGTTGAACACGAATATGAACTCTGTTTTCCCCTATCTGCCCTAGTTATTCAGTTATTTTGAATATTCTGGCGACTGCATGGTCACTCAGATTCCCATACAAAAAAAAATCATTACTCTGGTCCTACTGTCAAGAGAGTTGAATGGCTCTGCTGGGACGTAGACGTAGACAATTGCATTAGAGTCCTCCGTGTCAAATTTGAAGGCTCTATACGACAATTTCGAATTGTTTGACTGAAACATAAAACTGATGCTCTTTTTTTCGATTTTGGATTGAAGTTAGAATTGACTGAAAACTTCAAGACAGAGTATCTTCGATGTGCTGAAGAAGTATGTGAAGTCCGTTCCTCTATCTGCCCTAGTTTTTCAGTTATTTTGGAAATTCTGGCGACTGCCTGGTCACTGAGATTCCCTTGATTACTATGAAAATTAATTACTTGTTTTTAATGCGGAGACAGGCGAATGGCTCTGCGGGGACTTCGTGCAACATTTGAAGGCGCTACGACGACGGCTGAAAACTTTGAATACAGGGTATTCTCGATGTGCTGAACATGAATATGAACTTTGTTTTCCTCTATCTGACCTAGTTGTTCAGTTATTTCATAGATAAACGACGATGCAAAAAAAATTAGTTACTCTTTTTCTACGGTGGAGAGAGACGAATGGCTATGCTGGTACGTAGACAATTGCTTTAAACGATTAGAGCCCTCCGTGCCAAATTTGAATAAGGCTCTATGACGATTTAGGATATTATTCTCGAAAAATAAAACCTTGTTTTTTTTTCGATTTCGATAAAAGTTAGTCTGAAAACTTGTATAAAGGCTGTTCTCGATGTGCTGAACACGAAAATGAAGTCCGTTTTCCTCTATCTGTCCTAGTTTTTTAGTTAATTCGAATATTCTGGCGACTGCCTGGTCACCGATATTCCCATACTAGAAATTAATTCATAACTTTTTTTTTATACTGTGAACAGGAGCGAATGGCAGCCCTTTTTTCGATTTTTTGGGATAAAAATTAGAATTGGCTGAAAATTTGTATACAGGGTGTTCTCAATATGCAATAAAGACTTGAAATGATTTTGTACATTTTTATTTGTAGAAATATTACATTAGTGTAAAAATATAACGTCAATCCACGCAATCTGTTTTGTCTTCTTACTGCTGGAAAGTAATTTTCTTTCCATCTTGTTTTGGTTCCCTGCCACTGCAGATAATTCGGTAGATTATCTCTGAAAAAAACTTTTACCTGTATCATCATTCATCACATCAATTTCATTTGATGTGATAATATTTCAGTTATAAAAAAAATCTTTGAAATATGATCCATCAAACCAAATTGACATGAATGAAATGAAATGAATATATACAAGAATTTGTAAAATTATACTAAAATAAAATCTCTTATTTGCTTCATATCAGTTTTATTCATCATCCTAAAACTCTATGTCTCCCATATTGTTCAAAAAGCCTTGCAGCTCTTCTTCATCCACTTTTCCACTCAGAATCTTTTCTTGATGACTTTTATATTGATCTGAAATTAGATGCTCCAATTCACTCAATGTGTCATTCTCAATGCACTCCCGAATTTTCTTGAAAAACTTCAAATAATGGTGAATATTATGAATCATGATGAGCACAGGTGCCAACAGCTCCTGAACTGTCAATAAATGATGGATATACCCTCTGGAATATTTAGCACATGCTAAGCACTGACAAGAAGACATTATTGATGTGAAATCATAAGCATACTTTGACTGCCTCAGATTGATTTCATAACTCTCACTACCTTCCTCTTCTTCCATACTGAATGTGAGGGCTGCTGAACGTTCAGTTAAAATTCTGCAATAAGAAGTGTCAAACATATCCACTCCAAGCTGAACGAGTTTAAGAACATTCAGTGGGTTCCAGCATCCTTGCATGGAGCAGAGCTTGTCTGGAGGAATGTTTTTTATAGTGAATTCCACAACTCCTCTCACTTCTTCAAATGGTAAAAATTCTACCTCTGGCCCATTGTTGTGCAATCCATCCACAAGAAAGCCATTCAGCTCATCTTGATCTGCTAGTAAAGCTTTCAAGCACTTTTCCCTAGCATTGAGGCAATACCCCCCAGCAATTGGACATATCACAAATGTATTTTTCAGCTGAACTGACTTTTTATGTCTCTCTAAACACTGTCTACTCAGACTAATTGTATTCTCCACTGCTTTTGATATTCGCTTTTGGGCGCTAGTCATATTTGTATCCCCATCTGATAACAAACAGTACATGTCAGGTTTGAAGGATTCCACAATATCCATATACATTTCTGGATCATAAAGGACCTTACCCTGCTTGGTCCAAATAGGAACCTTATTTCTAATGTGATGTCCCTGCTTTGTCAGATTGCTCGGATCATGTAGAGTTAGACAGGAAAGACTGTTTGTGCTCCCGATGAATTCTGAAATCGTCCCATCATAATACGTCATCGTCTCTCGAAAACAGTGCATGCTCACTAGAGGAATTTGCAGAATTTGGGGGTCTTTGCTGACTAGTTTGAATACTTCGTGGGTAACATGGGGAATATGGCCCCCTTGAGTATGGAGAAGTGCCAGCGGCGTTTCTATTTCAACGTTGGGCCTGTTGTCTATGTCTTTGAGTACTCCTAAGCGCGGAGCACGTTGCTGAGGAGTCCGAATGAAGAATTTCATAGTGATAACGTTTTGAAGAGCGAAAATACACTACTGAATTTTCGAAAATAAAAGTCATAAAGAAAAAATAGGTTATGTTGTTGAACACCTAACCTAACACCTAACCTGAGTTCTTCTTCTTCTTTGTTCTACTAAAACATGGCCAGCTTTCCATGTAATCAATGAGACATTGTTACAAAAGGACATATCACCAATACAATTCTGCTTTGAGAATTTGAAAAAATATGGCGGTATTTAAAATTGAATCATTGAGCTAGGTTTTTAAATAAAGATTATCTCCAATTTGAGTATCTAATACCACGAAAACTGATGAAAGCGTTTCAATTTTTGGAACATGCTTACATGAGTAGCGATTCGCGAGCCACCCGCCGTCCCTGAACGCGAAACCACGGGGAGTATTGATCCACCCCCGGACTAGGGATGAGACGGCGCGCTAGACTATAGGGAGACCCCTGCTTGCTTTGGTGCAGACAATAAAAGTAGCGTGTCGCGTTCTCACGGCGAGCGCTAGAAAATGGTGACCGACGAAAAGTGATTGAAGTGATCGCAAAAAGCTAAAAAGGTAACCATCATGTCTTCGATTTCGGCCCAAGGGGTTGTAGAGCGGGCCTCCGCGGAGCTGTCGAAGCGCATAAATGGGCTAGGTTTGCGGGGCAGCAAGCACCACAACAACGCCAAGGCCAGCGTCATGGAGAGGGTCACCAACGTCTTCTGTGGCTCCAGCAACAATGCTCCCGCCGTAGGCAAGTACAAAGTTGTTCATAGAATATTAGTATAACATCGTACTTCCGCAGGCAATATATATATAAGTACACTCCACCATCACTCCACACGCTAAAGTGATCATCCACACGCTAAACGTCAATCCACACGCTGAAACGTTCATTCACATACTGATCGTCAATGCTAGAACGTTCATCATAATCCCCACACGCAATAAAAATGCGATTGCATAATAATTACACTGCCAATACCAAAATAAATAATAAATTATTTCTCTTTCCACCAATGAAATTCAATGTAAAATTTACTACTATACTCAACGATGTGCAATTTCCAGCATAATTAACCTTCATATAATCTTCTGTGATACCAGCAACAATGCTCCCGCCGTAAGTACACAGTTGTTCGTTTATCATTATGAAATTCTCGTCCTTCCATAAGCTGAAATTCACTCCACAAGCTTAAACGTTTGCCCACACGCTAAACGTCAATCCACACGCTAAAACGTTCATAAACATGCTAAACGTCAATGATAGAACGTTCATCATTAACCCCGGACCCAATAAAATGCTTTGTTCCATCGATCCACACATTTATTGTAGATTCTGCAGATTCTAACTTGCGATTGCATAACGAATACACTGTAATCCTGATGATATCGAATATATTATAAATTATTTGTTGAAAGTTACTTTGGTGGTCACAATAACAAATAAACATGAGTGTTAAAATAGAACTAATGTGTTTCGCATACTTCAACTAGATGGGCAATATATTCATAAAATTTCAAAATTTCATCTCTCACGGATTAGGGATAGGTGCCTGAAGCCGTGATTTTTTGAATTTTAGTTTCCTTTCATCCAAGAGGGCAGCTCTAATACCTTCCCCTGTCTCTCTTTTCGGTTCTTTTTGTTTGCTGAGAGGATGCAGAGAATAATACTGTTCCCACATATATAAGGTTCAGCACCCAAACAAACGCTGATGCTCTCATGGATTCCATCCAGAGAAGAGCCATATTCGCCTGGTGGGTGATACCACACTCACAAATTCTCTGACATGATTTGAACACGGTAAAAAAGTCGGCGACCATTCACTTTTCTATAAACATATAAACTCGACGGGAAATGTAGGTAGGTACTTCAGAATCTCAGAAATTTCTGCTATTATTCAATCACTGGTAATACTAGTCAGACGTACTCGACAAGCCCAATAAGCACATCTTTTTTTCGCCAACTTCTAAATATGACGCAGAACTCTACCAAAGCTAGTTTGTCTATAGAATGAGGAAGCTTTGGAATTCTTTGACAAAACAAGCATTCACCAGAAGTTAAAAATTAATTCATATGACTATCTTCTCTCCCTATCCTCCCTAGGTGAGCGACATCAAGTAAGCACGGTGTTCTAAAAGATGAAAAACAGTTTGGTAGAGAGTTGTACAGTTGTACCACTTGTACCCTGATGCCTGATGCTTCATAGTAAAGCCACGTAAAGCGTTAGCCCACTGTTTTCCCTGGCGTACTAAACCAGACTTCCAAGGCCAAACTCCTTTTTTGTTGGCACCCAAAATGTGCTGTCCAAAATGTATTACGCTTTCCATTATGGCGAAATAATATTCCCATCACTCTCTTGCAACTCTCGCAATTTGTTGGGATTTCAGGTGCTCCAGAAAAGCCGTCCCGCCTCTTGCCTAGGGGCCTGTCCAAGACGTCCTTGAACGCCAACAACAATCTGAACTGCGGCAACACCGGCAACGTCGCGTTGACACCGCGCAAAAAGCTGGTTCAGCACCCGCAGACGTCGTACTTAACGTGGGAGCAGCTCCTCATGGACGAAAAGTTCCTGCAGGGCTTCTTCTTGTACTTCAACGCGTGCGAGAGGTGTATGTTGGCTCAGGTACGAAAATTACAGCGCTCTCCTTCGGTTTGTCTGATGTAAAATGGAATTTTGGCGAAAAGAATGTGGCTACTACCACGACTATAACGTTATTACAGTGTCTTGTATAGTCTTTGCAAAGTAACTTGAGACAACTTGAACAGAAGAGAATCGTCGCGCCCGCCGGTCCTTTTGAAATTTGTCTCGAATGACCTGCAAAGACTATAACATACTAACCGTTCACTTAAACTGCTTGTTGCTACCAGTGAGAGCTCCAGTTGCTTCGCATTACTCGGTTACTCCAGGTAGTCTTGAGTGCTGCTTTATATCCTTTGGTAGAGCTTGGCAGTCTTCGAGGTTTGATTTGAATAGAACCGGCTCGAAGGACCAATATGTTCGATACTTGATGAATAGTGAACTGTTGTTGTATGGATATGATAATGAAATGAATATTGATATGAGAACTGCAATTCATATTGCAATCCTGTTTCAAAATCAACAACACGTCGCCATGTTGACAACAAATGAAAATCTTTTATTATATATAGAGTGATACAAGTACCAAACTATTATATGGGGTCATGAAAGTACTGAACACAAAGAAATGAACAATCTTGTTTGTTTTATGTTCAGGTATGCGTACGATGGAGGGACGTACTGTACAGATCGCCACGCTATTGGTCCGGACTTGTACCAGTTCTGCAATGCCGAGAGCTGCGAACAGGACCCGGAAATGAAAGAGCAAGGTAATTATACATCTTTAGATACCATGTTCAGGAAATGAATACTCTTTCAATGCATATATGAAGAAGGAATATGAAAGTCGAGTAGGGGACTGCTGAGTTATTGCGGATAAATGCTGGACTGGGTGTCTGATGGTGACATGAGCCAGTCTGAAGGTAGTTAGGTGATACCTGACCCAAATTCAAGAACAAATAATCGATTCAATAAATGATGTAAAACTATTATTTCTGGACAATTTGTTTTTTTTTAGGTTATATGCGTCTCTGCTCAGAAGAGGTTTCAACAGTTTGTGTCTGATGGGAGCCTCGGACGAAGATGCTATGGACCTAGTGAATACCTTCCCCCTAGCTTCAAAACACATACACACGCTAAGTCTGAGATGTTCCAGTATAACGGACAGGGGCTTAGAAACGCTGCTAGATCACTTACAGGTAAGCAATCATATCATATATAGCTTTCTTGCACAACCTATTATATAATAAGCGTAGCCCCTTCGTAGATCATTTGGTCAAGTTTTTTTTATACGTAGCATAAGAGGATTCACGAGAGTATAGCACGAAAACTACTCATAGACACTTTTGTTCAGCACACTTTGAACTACTATCTCCCAAAATCTCAGGTAAATTGACAGAAATCAAAATTGCATTTGGTTTGTGCGGGGTCCTTTTGCAGGTGTAACATTAATGTACACTGAAAAAAATTGGGGTTGAGGAGAAAAGGGTTGAAATAAAACTCAACCACGCACTCAGAACCGTTTATTGGATAGATCAGAACACATCTTTGGCCCACGGCGAAAAAAATCACAATACTCACGGCGGCGAAAGTTTTACTAAGATAAAAACATCATTTACTTCGTTCCTCGATGTATAATAATCTACTATTATCATTGTACGGAAAAATTAACAAAACTAGCACATGATCGCATCTAGTGGTGCCCGCGAGAGTCTCGTTTTCGAGAGTCTCGCATGGTCTCGTCTCGTTTTTGAGACAAGACTTGAGACGAGACTCGGACAAGAAGAGACGAGACTCGGACAAGACGAGACGAGACTTTTATTGGTCTCGTTTCGAGTCTCGTGCAAGACTTCTCGTGTCTCGTGCGAGAGTCTCGCAGGTGAATATTTCTGCGTGCCGACTGCAGACTTGAAAATTTCATTCATAATACAACATATTTAGAAAGAATTCAGACTATTTAGCACAGATAGACAAAACATTTCATTCATAAATACTTTAAAAACACAATCCATGATTGTCGTAAAACGACGTAATGCGTGAAACGAAAACGGATTATTCTCTCTCTTACGGCGGAATAATTTTGGATTAAAGTTTTTGATTTGTTTATTTGTTTAGAATATACGTGTTACTTTTAGGTAGGTAGGTATGTACCTATTATGTACTTTCTGTTCAATAAATAATGTTATTTTTGTTGTGATTTTCTCTTCCTACTTCTACATTATACCTAAAAAGTATGTGAAGGTAAATAGCCCGTACTAGACTGGAACAAGATTATGCATGACGAAATTGCGATACATTTGCGAGACTCTCGTACGAGACGCGAGTCAAGACTTCATATTTCATCGGCGAGACAACACGAGACTTCATGAGTGTCTAGTCTCGTTGGTCTCGCGTGAATCACTAATCGTATCTCTAAAATGTTGTTTGGGCAGACGGTGTTCGAGTTGGAGCTGGCCGGCTGCAACGAGGTCACCGAGGCTGGCCTGTGGGCGTGTCTGAACCCGCGCATCGTCTCTCTCTCTCTCACCGACTGCATCAACGTGGCCGACGAGGCGGTGGGCGCGGTCGCCCAGCTGCTGCCCGCCCTTTACGACTTCTCCCTGCAGGCGTACCACGTGACCGATGCCGCGCTGGGCTACTTCTCGCCCAAGCAGAGCGACTCGCTTAACGTGCTCAGGCTGCACTCCTGCTGGGAGGTCACCAATCACGGGGTCGTCAACATCGGTGAGGTTTTAGTCGGTGTTTTTCAGTGTTATTTATTTTGCGTTCGACATGAAAGACCGTTCAAACACATTTCCTGCACTCAAACGAGTATCACTGAACACTCCAAAATGGGATACTAAAGAAACGCCACTCTATCATAGAAAAATTTGTGGCTTTGCTTGATTCGGCCGAACTCAGCAAAGCCATATCGGAAAAACAATTTTTTTTTTGTGACGGGAAAAAAGTTTTGCATTTCATCTCTGTTGGCAAGTTATAAAATGTCACATTTCATAAATTACTTTTGTAAGTAAGTAAAAAAATATATAGACTATTGCAAGATATCATGATTCATATTTGTTAGTAATCAACTTCATCCAGAAAATGAAAGATTTCTGAAAATTATTCATAATACTCGACGAAGTTGGATTAAAAACCTATTTTATACCATTGCTGGAATAGATAAGCTGTTATCAGAGAACAATTTACGGAAATCTAGACATATTGATGATGTCGGCAACGTCGTACTGAGACAGGGAATCGTATTTAAATCTGTGAATGTGGCATTTCAGAAAGTACTTGATAGGGATGGTGAAGGAACCAAGTTCCTTTTTCATTTATTTTTTTCTGAAATGAAATTTGATCGAAGGAAAAAAATGTATAGATTGAGTTTTCACAAACTTCACTCAGTATTGCGAACTTCCCCGTCATCAAGTAGATACAAACATGGAGTACAGGACATAATCAATGTGTTATCAGTAGATAAGCTATGAGGGTTCTGGCAGAATATTTTCGGGTGGGGGTAAACTGGTAGAGGCGTGGCATGAGTGGGACTAGCTGATTGGTTAGTGCTGGAGGTGCAGCCAAAGTCGAACTATTCACAACCAACCTCATTTTCAAAGCAAACAATGGTCTAGTTTTAGTCAGACCACGCCTTCATGAACCTTCAAAAAGAGGAGAGGTATAGCTCATGTATTATTTTAATTTATTAATTCCTATTTTCAGTTCATTCCTTGCCGAATTTGACGATTCTGAGTCTGTCCGGGTGCAGTAAAATTACCGACGACGGGGTAGAGCTGATAGCCGAAAATTTACAAAAACTGAGATCACTGGACCTATCCTGGTGTCCCAGAATTACCGATGCTGCCTTGGAATATATAGCATGTGACCTCAATCAATTAGAAGAACTGACCCTTGATAGGTAAGAAACATTCAATACTGGGGAACAAATTAATCCCTTATATTAACGGAAACTTTCATCATTCTTTGGAATTTGGATTTTCAGAAGTGGGATAATCATAAAATAGCTGATTTTGTTTTCAGATGTGTACATATAACTGATATAGGAATAGGATATATTTCGACGATGCTATCTTTATCTTCCTTATATTTGCGTTGGTGCTCCCAAATAAGAGATTTTGGACTGCAACATCTTTGTGGAATGCGCAACTTGCAAATTCTGTCCTTGGCAGGTCAGTATTTTGATAAAATCAATCATTTATGAAATCTATGGCCAAGATTGACGAAAAAAATTCTTCCAGGTTGTCCTTTATTAACGTCTAGTGGACTGTCCAGCCTGATCCAGTTGCGACACATGAAAGAATTAGAACTAACAAATTGTCCGGGGGCATCTAAAGAACTGTTTGACTATCTCAGAGAACACCTTCCGCGCTGCCTCGTCATAGAATAAGGAACAGATTGTCCACTTGTTGATATTTGATACTACCAGACTGTGCAATAACCCCTCTACCACTAACTTGATTATGGTACTTTAGTGGTCAACAACAGTAACTCAGCTACCCTTGATTCTCTCTTTTTGATTTTTAACATCTCTTAAGGATGCTTCAAAATTGAACTCAAATTATGAGGAGTTGCATTTACAGTGTTGGCCAGTTCATATTTCCTTTAGATATCTACCTTGTTCCTGATGCTGATTCGTTGAAAAATATTTTCATATGCAAGTTAATGAAGGCATCTTTCAGTATTTCCAACACTGAAATTATACCAATTTCAGTTCAACTTTTTTTTCACTAATTCAAGTAATTCTGTTGTTAATTTTGAATCCACTTACTATGTTAGAACAAACACTGGGAGTTTTTGAGATATATGCTAAAAAATTAAGAATGAGGATGCAACCTCAGCTTTCTTCTACTACACTAGCTTGATACATCACAAAAAAATCATTGGCTAACTGGTTTATTACTGCTGGTTTGTAGATTGTTGTTCATAGAATGTTTTAGGGATTTTGTATAGATGATGAACTAAGCCATAATGATTCTGCTTTCAATTCAGTAATTGTAAATAAGAATGCAAAACTATTGTCATAGTTACTAGTTTGTACAGCAAAGTTGTAAAATGTTACTCCCAGTCAAGATTTTTTCATCACTCAAACATTTATGGCCCTTCATTGACTTACATCTGGAATTTTTACATGTCACCAAGTTCAATTCATCAATTTGATTAGCCAATATCCTTATTTTTTATGGTATTTTTCCTTTCTTGGTTTACTAAGGACTTTTGTGTAGCGATAATTGGAATGAAATGAATTTGATATTTTCCTGATATTGGATAATGGTCTAGAATCCATTGACTTTGAGTATCTACCTCCCAAGTCCTTTTAACCAAATGACAAATGGTCCTAGAGAGAATAGTTGGCATCATATCAAATGGCAATAAGAATATGGAAGAGCAATAAATAAGTAGTTTTCAAGGATTCAATATGAACATTGCTCAAACTATATAGGTGTGCATCATAATTTGAAAATTGAACCTTCCAATTCTATCATTGAATGAACAAACATCTAATTTTTTTGGACCATTTGTCATATTAATTGTGATGTGATGTTATTTGAGATTATTTATTTAGTTCATGTTACTGTTCCAGATTTATGTGATGTCACCAAATAAAATAGATATTTTATAGGAAAATTGGAGAAAATATTGTTCCACCAATCCCTCCTACTCAGCAAAATTTATTCAGCTTATAAAATATTATCACATACCAAATCTGGAGATTCCCATGACTACATCACATATTCTTCCACCAGGATAACAATCCCAATCCAGGTTCATTAATACTTCCCTAAAAATAAAAATATATGGAACAAGAAAAAAACAGACTCAAATACTCACAGTCAACAAATATGGTATCTTGTTCTCATTGCTCTCTTGCGTTTCCTGCATACTAGATGGACCAGCTGGGCATGTTTCATTGAAAGTTTCAGCAGTCACTCTGAATCTAATAATCTCTCCTGCATCCATAAACAAATCATGTTTATTTCCATCCCCTGTATCATACTCCCATACCCAAGCCTGTTCATTTTCATCGAACCTAAAATAAACAAATAGTTATGTGCTGGAATTTCTTTTCAATGGCAAAATCTTTAGTAGAAGCAAATAGAAAAAATGCCTAATAGAATGATCTATTGTTTTTTACCTGGATGGATGTTGTAATGCAGTAGGTGGTATTACAATATCTTCAAAGAACCCCAGAGTTACATGGACACCCTCTTGGCTGCAGCTCCTGATTCTCCCCACCAAAATTTCCTCAATGAATGGCCTGAAAACTATGAATCTGAACTTGACTCTGGTATGGGAAGCACCATCACCTGGAAAGATGTAGGATTCTTGGAGACTGAGGATATCATACAAGGCAATACAGAGACCTACATTGAGTACCACCTAAAAAAAATGTGTATTTGGATTTGAAAAAACGGCTCTAGAGGCGATATCAACAAAGCTATTGGCTACCAATGATTTTGCTAATGCCACCTTGATTTGTTAAAAAGAACTTACTTTGTTGGCGAGTTTTTCATTCAGTTCACCGGCTATGGCGTCATTCAATTTCATGTGGAATTGTTCTGGAAGTATTCTAGTAACATTTTTCATTTCCGCTAATAAAAACATATTTTCGTTTCACAAAATTTGAAGACATCAAGCAAACTTAGGAAGAAGGATGAATGAAGGTTAGATACAGCTTCTTCCGACTTTTCCGTTCTTCTTTTTTCACTTCCTGGCCTCTTGTCATAGTACACACAGTCAACTTCTTGTTCTTCTACGTTTATATAAAACTGGAATAAAATAGAATCGTAATCTATCGCTCCATTGCTATCATAAGCCTGTGCATCTGCCTTAAGATTTGAGTTGTCAATGTTGTCATGGATATGTGATGGAATCTCATAAGTCATAAGTCATCCTTGTCATAATAATAATTGATTTTGGTTTGTAATTTTTGGTTGCTTTGAAAATCACTTAATTTAAAATGTATTGAATCACTGATCTTTTAGATTATCGTGAAATAGTGACCACTCTTCAATCTTGTGTAAAAGAATTTCGCGGATTCCATAATGTTCAGCAGTGCAATGAAAGATACCCCCTTGGAATATTCAAAAAATAGATTCTCCAGAGATGATAGAGACAATTCTAGCCGAAGTCCTTCTGACAAAAAGTACAGAGGATCCGGTCGCAGTAGTAGAGACAGGCATGACACCGAAAAATCTTGTGATTCAGATTCAAACATATCTAATACCCAGGAAGTCATGCAGATACCTAATGGGCCTGCTCTGGGGCCTTCCAGTTTGTGGGGAGGAATGATGGGTGAGAAACTGATTGTGTCGTGATAAATATACACTGAATTTCCACTATATATCTCTTTGTTAGTTTTCTAACCACATTATTAAATATTCAACTTCATGATAATGATCTAGGTATGGGTTACCCCATGGTGAGCATGAACATGCTCATGGATCCTACCAACATGATGCCTGCTGCTACTGCTGCCATGAATAATTACAATATATTACCTCCTCTGTTAGCCCCTAACAACCCTTCAGACCCCAACATACTACCCCCTGAATCATCTCTAACCAGTATGATGATGGGACCAGTGAAAGAAATTATTCATTGCAAGGTAGAGTTGTGTGATTTCATCTAAAAAAAACTTATAGACCACCTCTCAAGATACCTATAATTATTATATTGTACATGTATTAGAATAAATTTTTATTTTGAACAAGAATCAATATAAATAATTTGTTCATTGATTGTTATTTGATATTTTCATTATTATAGTCATGTACTCTGTTTCCTCCCAATCCTAATGCCCCAATGCCCACAACTAGAGAAAGGCCCCCAGGGTGTAGGACTGTTTTTGTGGGGGGGCTACCTGAGAATATGACAGAGGAAATCATAATGGAGATATTTGAGAGGTATGAATAGAATGGATCATAATCAGAATGGCTCATTGTTATGTTTCATTCAGTTAATTGCATTTTGTGGTATCAGTAGAGAAAATGTAGGTGAGGAATTTTTGCAGGTGTGGAGAAATTACCACTCTTCGTTTGAGTAAGAAGAACTTCTGCTATATGAGGTTTGTGTATGAACCTTCAGTAGATGCTGCAATATTTCTGTCAGGTTATAGAGTCAGAATTGGATCTAATGCTGATGGAGCCAATACGGGAAGGCTTCATGTTGATTATGCACATGTTAGTGAAATGTTATCTTATATTTATATATTTCCTAATGTTTCAATAGTTTACAGTGGATATTTTTCATGGTTTTATTTCTAACAACAAAAGTGATCTCATTTGAAAACTGAAAATAAAAACCCAATTTGGGAAAAAATCATTATAGTTTTGTGGTATAAAAATATTTATTACCTGGTTTATAACAGTCACTCCAACAGAATAAAATACATCAATATGGTCCTTACAAAATTCAAGAGTGAACTGAAGAAATTTATCTCATGAATTCAACTCTTCTTTATCCATTAATTCTGATATTTCTGATTAAACTGTTTATATTCTATTTGATTGGAAATTGGATTTGTTTATTTATTCTTCTTCTGTCCTTGGATGAACATGTATGTTTCTTGGGATCAATAAATATTACTATCAACTTGATTCTTCCCACATCAATTCTTCTTTGTTTGAAAACATAATTTTTCATGGTTCTAAATTCAGAAAATAATGTAGTTTTTGTCTATATTTATTCAGAATGGTTTTTCAACAGGATGTAATATTCATAAAATAGACTATTTTACTGAAAATTACCTATATAACAATTGCAAAATAACCCAGTTCAAATACCGTTTGTTTGATGTGCTATATTGCAGCCGCGCTTTGTCTACAATCACCCTAAACTAACTGCATGTTGACAACATCATCTTTATCACAGCTATTAGCAATTGTTTCTTGGTTCATAAACAGGCTTATTCAATTAAGCTGGTTTGTAAAAAACCCCATTAGTATTTTTCCAAATTGTGAACGAATTTTTTTTCTAGTGTCAAAAAGTAAACAAACTATTTTTTTCTCTCGAAAACGAGGAGAGATTTAACTATTATTATAACTATTTCATTATTTTTTTATAATTTATGAATATAGATTTGAAGTGAAAAACACCCCAATCAATGGTATATACATTTATACTCCTAGGGACTAAAGTGGTATTCTAAATCCCTACACAAAAAGTTTTCAGCTGGACCAACGGGAGGGCTATAAACAATTTAGTCCTGAGGTGTATATTCTATTTTATGCACTTGAGGATAAGTAAAACGTTAAAAATAACAACAACAAAATGAATGCCAATAAACGGTAGATACTCTATTTCTAAAACTTCATCAAAGGGGTCATCAAGATTTCGGGAAAAAAGTGGTACTTTGAATCCTTAGGGATTCAAAATCAACTTTAAATCCCTGGGATTTGAAGTGACACTTTTTTCCTAAAAAAAAGTGATCTTGAGTCCGTTCAAATCCTTGCAGTGAATAATAGTACATTATACACCTAGGGAATACAGTGGTATTTTGAATCCCTTGACAGAAAGTTTAATATATATATATATAATAATAATAGTATAATTTGTCGAGGGATTTAAAAACGCTTTAGTCCTGAGTTGTATTATACTATTTTATGCACTTGAGGATAGGTAAAACGTAAAAAATAACGACAAAAAAATTAAATGTCACTAAACTGTAGACACTCTATTTCTGAAACGTCATCAAAGGGGCTGATTGATACCATATCCACTACCTCAGTAACTGTGGTGATCCCTAGGGATTTAAAGTACCACTTTTTTTCCCGAAAATAGGGAATAAAGATACCCTTCAAATCCCTGAGGTCCATAAAATATTTTTATATCATATTCATCATGAACATTACAGGTAATGTCAATTTCATTTTTTCTTTATGTACCATAAACTAGATGTTTCACTTTCGGTACTTTGCATGTAAAAAAAGGATCACCCTTTTTTATGCACTGAATTTTTTCTTCCCATATTTTAGGCAAGAGATGATCAGTATGAATGGGAATGCAGACAAAGACAACTGCAGAGAGAACAAAGACACCGTGAAAGGATGGAAGAAGAGAGGCTCAGGCCTCCTTCTCCACCCCCTGTTGTTCATTATACTGATCATGAAGCCTCTGCAGTGTCCGAAAAAATCAAGCAGGACGATACGTTCACCAAAGCTGTACAAGTAAGGAAAAGCCGAGGGATGGTGATAAACCGCGGTGGAATTCTGTTGTACAAACAACTGGAATTCCCTGGATTTGTTTGGAATTCCTTGGATTTCTTTGGAATTCCTTGGATTTTCTTGGAATTCCTTGGTATTCCTTGGATTTCCCTGGAATTCCTTGAAGTTTCTTGGAATTCTGGTGTACAATCGAACAACTGGAATTCCTCGGAATTCCTTGAATTTTCTTGGAATTCCTTGAATTTTCTTGGAATTCCTTGAATTTTCTTGGAATTCCTTGGATTTTCTTGGAATTCCTTGGATTTTCTTGGAATTTATTGAAAAACCTTGGAATTTCTTGAAAGTCCTTGGATTTCCTTAGAATTCCTTGGTATTCCTTGGATTTGCTTGGGATTCCTTGAGGTTTCTTGTTTGAAGTGCGGTATAATTCTGGTGTACAATCAAACAACTTGAATTCCTCGGAATTCCTTGAATTTTGTTGGAATTCCTTGGATTTTCTTGGAATTCCTTGGATTTTCTTGGAATTACTTGGATTTCCTTGGAATTTATTGGAAAACCTTGGAATTTCTTGAAAGTCATGGATTTTCTTGAAATTCCTTGGATTTCCTCGGGATTCCTTTAAGTTTCTTGGAATTTCTTGTGTGAAGTGCGGTATAATTCTGGTGTACAATCAAACAACTGGAATTCCTCGGAATTCCTTGAATTTCCTTGGAATTCCTGAGATTTTCTTGCAATTCCTTGGATTTTCTTGGAATTACTTGGATTTAATTGGAATTTCTTGAAATTCCTTGGATTTCCTTGGTATTCCTTGGATTTCTCTGGAATTCCTTGTAATTCCTCGTGTGAAGCAAAGTATGATTCTAGTGTACAATCAAACAACTGGAATTCCTTGGATTTTTTTGGAATTACTTGGATTTCCTTGAAATTTCTTGAAATTCCTTGGAATTCCTTGGATTTCCTGGAATTACTTGGATTTCCATGGAATTCTTTGGGTTTCCTTGGAATTTTTTGAAGTTACTTGGATTTTCTTGGAATTTCTTGAAATTTCGTGGATTTCCTTGGAATTTCTTGGTATTCCTTGGATTTCCTTGGAGTTTCTTGAAATTCCTTGAATTTCCTTGGAATTCCTTGGATTTTCTTAGAATTCCTTGTATTTTCTAGGAATTACTTTGGTTCCTTGTAATTTCTTGACATTGTAATTCCTTGGTATTCCTTTGATTTCCCTGGTATTCCTTGGATATCCCTTGAATTCCTTGGAGTTTCATGGAATTCCTTGTGTGAAGTGCAGAATAATTCTGGTGTACAATAAACAACTGGAATTCCTTGTGAAATTGTACTTTGGTAGCGGTTTACCCCTCGGGAAAAATCTGTGGTGTACTGCAAGGGTCAATCTCTGGCCTGCTGTAGTTGAATTCGAATTTAAATGACTCTGATCCTACGTTATTTCAGGTCGTTATAACTTGGTTGGAAAGAGGGGATTGCAACAAACGCAATTCCAACAATTTCTACTCTATGATCCAATCGACGAATTCCCATGTTAGAAGACTGCTTACTGAGAAGACCCAGTATGAGGAGGAGATGCGCAAAGCCAGAGAAATAATGCGGGGAAGGATGCAAGGCATACTGTTGCAATGTAAGTTATATTGCTGCATTTGTACTATACTTTTTTTTGGAGACCGGCGGGGTGTAGTAAGTATCCTAATTTTTTGTGCTGAGATTGAGTATGCCTACAAACTAGTTTTTCAAATGACTATTTTTCATGAAAAAATATCTCATTTACTCTATAACTGATATAGAAGAATCAGCTGATTATAGTAGTCATTTGAAAAACTATATTATAAAATAGTCAAACATAATATTTTCAACTAGCAATACTGATTCAATTATTCTGACTTGAATTTTCAACCTGAAAATATTGACATTGTAGCTTTCAAAAACATATTCGCAAGTAAGTAGTTGTATAAAATATATATTTATGTGATGTTTGCAGGTTTTTTCAATGATCAAGGTGAGTGAATAAACTGTATATTGGTTTTGGGATATTTGTAGGCATACCCTATTAGCACAAATTTCGATATTGTTTATTATTTTGGTATATTTTTATATATATCATGTTATTTATTCATCACAACACTTTGAATATCAAAAGAATATAAATAATTAACAGGAATCATTCCAACCGAAGAATTTCCAATTATGTGTTTTCCATGATCTTTATAATAAAACTGCAGGAAGCACAGGAAATGAATTGGCAAATTTGGAATACAAATCTACATACAATCAACTCAAGCTCCATTATTTCAGAGTGACTAGTAAAATAGTAAAAAAATGCTTAATAAAATTAAAAATGAGGTGATCTGTCGATTCTGTATTTTCAACTATTTGTATCATATAGGTATTTGACTTATCACTTATACAGGGTGTCCCATGAGTCATGGATCAGACCAATCAAACTAACTGTATACAGTGTGTCCCACTTACCATGCTCACCATGGGTATCTTTTTAACGGTGAGAGATACGAGGTCGGTTAAATGACACCAAATGTGGAGTTTGTCAAGGCCAACTATAATGTGAAAAAATATTTTGATAAAAACTATTCGTTTTTGTTTTATACGCAAAAAACAGATTTTGATCATTTTCATGTCTCCTCTGTAACTTCTTTATTCATGAGAATATTCAAATAGAAACTTCACATTCTCATGGCAGTTTTTCAAAGTGATTTCGAAAAAAATGAAATTTATACCAACTCTTCTAGAATTTGAGATATCAGCAGGAATAACTTTTTTTTCTCTGACAGATGATATGTCGCAGTAATAGTTTTGTGTTGATAACAACGGAGTTACCTTCATTTATACAAAAACAAAAAATTATTTGGAAGCCGCCGTCTTGAATTTATAAATTTTAACAAAAAAATCATGATCTTCGCCCTCAAAAACCCCCACTTATCAATTTTGAATGGAATCGGACCAAATCTTGTCCGCCATCTTGGAGCAGCCATTTTTTTTTATTTCAACAAAAATTCCATAACTCCGATTAACTTGAAATTTGGCAGGTGTTCATAATTTCGGTGACAATACATCATGTCAATGTAGAAAATTAACTGAACTTCAATTTTTATCTGAACCGAAAATCTCTAACTGCCATATTTTAGGAGATGTTGGCTGAAAACCTATTTTCCTTGTCTTTTGGGGCCATTTTCTCCGCCATCGCACGCGTTTTCCAGTCAAACTTTGTCTCATGTTTAATGAGGTACCAAAAGCTACTTCCAACCGGAAGATGAAAATAGTGCGTAATTAACGTCAACTTTGCCTTTTTTTCCTCCTTCATTTATTGGACTAAGGATCCATCGATATTTGTCCCTCCTTAGTGCTCGCAGTTCCACCACGGGATTATAGGTCTAACCTTTTGCGAGTACAGGGTGGGCAAAATTCATCAATCTCAGTAATTAGAGGAGTTATCGAAAAACCGATATACATGTTCCGGGTTCGATTTTGGAGAAACCTCGAATGACACAATCAAAATTTCGATATCTTCATTCGTTTTAGAGATACAGGGGAAAATTGAAAATTTCCGATTTCGATTTTATTTTCTGACTACTTTACGGTGAGAGGTATCAAAAAATTTCAAACGTATATTTATACAGTATGATGCGTGGAATCCATTGGCATCATCAGAAATTTTATACAGGGTGACGTTGAAAAGATACGGCAGCCAATTATGTTTTTTCTAATGGAACACCCCGTATATTTTGGCACAGTTGAATAGTCCCAGGCGTTTTCATTACAAATATATATATAACCCTACCTTTTCCTTCAACAATTTCAGATATATTCGCAAAAATATATTCAGTGTGTCACATTTCTTATGGATACACCCCCGTATCTTCTGTAAAAATAATTGAGGTAGGATTCAAAAATTCGCAACTGTCTGGCAGAATGCCTGAATATGATACTTTACCCATTATTTCTAGTATGCCTTAATATTTTTGCGTTCGAAGAGATAATAAATAAGATATATATTTGAAATTGAAACGGGAACTTTCCAGCTCTGCCAAAATATACGGGGTGTTCCATGAAAAAAATTGTTCTGTATCTGGAATTTGGACATCTTCTATAAGGCTATATTTTTCAACGCAACCTACTGATTTTCTAATTGAGTAAATTATTGGTCTTATTTCTGTATCTCAAATGTCTTAATAACAATGATATCAAATCGAATAATTTCCCATTTTATTTCTCACCAGATATCCATTTGTCTGGAGATAACATTCCTTATGATATTTATTTTCCACATTTGGTGAATATATACAGAGTGTCATTTTCAACCTCGATTCTGCCTGTTGATAGCATTATCCAGAAATATCGATGATTCCATAGCTGCTGGCGAGCAGTGTTATCATTGGAGATGATCCCACTTGGTCCATGACTCCATGAGTGTATCATTAATTTGTATCATTCTGACAGTTGCGAATTTTTGAATCCTACCTCAATTATTTTTACAGAAAATACAGGGGTGTAACCATAAGAAATGTGACACACTGAATATATTTTTGCGAATATATCTGAAATTGTGGAAGGAAAAGGTAGGGTTATGTATATATTTGTAATGAGAACGCCTGGGACTATTCAACTGTGCCAAAATATACGGGGTGTTCCATTAGAAAAAACATAATTGGCTGCCGTATCTTTTCAACGTCACCCTGTATAAAATTTCTGATCATGCCAATGGATTCCACGCATCATACTGTATAAATATACGTTTGAAATTGTTTGATACCTCTCACCGTAAAGTAGTCAGAAAATAAAATCGAAATCGGCAAATTTTCAATTTCCTCCTGTATCTCTAAAACGAATAAAGATATCGAAATTTTGATTGTGCCATTCGAGGTTTCTCAAAAATCGAACCCGGAACATGTATATCGGTTCTTCGATAACTCCTCTAGTTATTGAGATAGACGGTGAAAACGCCCAATTTTGCCCACCCTGTACTTCCGAATAAAAAAAAAAAGAGGAGTAATTGAATGCCTAATGCCTATAAATCATTATCAGTCCACTCGCCCAGATTGTTTGCTAAACAATGATGCATGACTTATGAGACTCCCTGTATATAGAGAATACAAAAATTAACTTTTTTCTGTGACGGGAAAAAAGTTTGGCATTTCATCTCTGTTGGCAGGTTATAAAATGTCACTTTTCATAAATTACTTTTTTCCCGTGGGAAAAAAGTGAGTACTTCTTTCCCGGATATATCACATATATATACTCTGTTAATGGCTTTTGTTGTGCTATAGTTCCGAAATATGAGTCAATAATACCGTCTCCGAGAAAGAACTGCAAGTCCTTTCATCTTCCATTCGACTTCGCGGTTTCGTATATTACTAAACAACTACTGAATTCGCAATTTTTCAAAATCGAATCACAGAATTGAACTGACAGAAGTGACATCAGATATTTGATTACTTCAAAAGAATGATAAAGATGTCTATAAAACGCAGGTGTCCCTACTGTTAAAAACTTGAAATTTCACGTCGATAATTTTCAGATTTCGAAATAATGTAATATCTTCTCAATATTGATTCGTCCTTCCTTCTGTCACAGAAAAAAATAGTGTATTATACACGGGAAAAATATTAGATTTTAGCTCACGGTTTGTTGTCTCCCTCCGCTACGCGTCGGGAGACAACACAACCTGGAGCTAAAATCTACTACTTTTTTCCCTTGTATAATAAATAACTATTAATTTTTCAAGACTTGAGCATGTTGTAGTTGAATTCTATCAAGTCATTATAAAAGCTAATGAATCACCCTGTGCGACATTCCATGAAATGATGTATCATTCATCTGGAAATCTAGAGAATTTGGAGATTCCAATCAGAATGTAGGTGATTCGAATCATCCCCCCAAAGTGTTGTTGGTTCTCATAGCAAATAATGTACCTACTTTTTTCTGATATGGTGGTTTAATGAGATATCTTTGCGTGTGCTGTTAGTCGGTCAAATTGAGAGATTGTTCTTGGCGGCCTGTCACAAGAAGGTCTGGGACCATTTCACCAAGGCTCAGAGAAAGAACATAGAGACTTGGAAAAGGCAGTCATTGGTAGGTACCACCTTGGACATTCAAAATGGTACTCTTTTTTTCTTTTCGCCTATTTTATGCATATTTTTTGTTCATTATTATCATTTATTATTTATTGAGTCTTTCTTATGTGTTTGGAGTTATTCAGTCTAGTTGGGTTTCTTCAAATTCTATAATTTTTTTTCACTAATAAATTACTTGAATTAATAATTGGGTCATGAAAAAAAGAGAGAAAGTCCTACAGACATTGAAAATGCTTCGTTTTCAGTACACAGGGTGTTATACAGGGTATGTCACGACGAGCTCACACTATCTCTATATCGAGAATCAATCGGGAGAAATCCATGAAAATATGCATGTTCATATTTTAGAATACACTCTCTTCATTTGAAATATTTTCAGAAATGCAGTGTTGCCGCTTCTACCAAAAAGTAACAACTTTGTTATCTCAAATAGAATACCCTGTATTTCATTGCATTTTTAGATTCTACCTGATGAGCTGATTTCATCGACACACTTGGCGTCTATAGGAAATGATCACAGAGATATAGGGTGTTCAAAATCGAGATTTTTCAACTTTAGGACTTGTTTGTGTCGAAAGGGTGGCGGAAATTTGATCGAAAGACAAATGATAGAAAAACATTTAATAGAAGTCTTTTGATCGAACATCAAAAAATAGAAAGAACTTTTCACCGAAAATACATTTGATCGAATGTTTAATGATAGAAAATACATTTGATAGAAACATAAATGATTGAAAATACAATTGATAGGAAAAATATTTGCTAGAAAATACACTTGATAGAAACGGCATTTGATAGAAAATTCAACGGGGCTACGCCTAAGTTAGGTCAGTTCTTTTGTGAAGATATGATCCTTCCCCATATATTTGAGAAGAAGGAGCTAGAAGTTTGTGGTATCAATAAATTCATAAGCTTCGATTTCCATCTAGCTCCTTTTTCTCAAATATATGAAGAAGTATCATATCTTCACAAACGTACTGACCTAACTTGAGCGTAGCCCCGTTGAATTTTCTATCAAATGCTGTTTCTATCAAGTGTATTTTCTATCAAATATTTTTCCTATCAATTGTATTTTCTATCATTTATGCTTTTATCAAATGTATTTTCCATCATAAAACATTCGATCAAATGCATTTCTATCAAAAACACTTTCCATCAAAAGATTTATATCAAATGTTTTTCTATCATTTGTCTTTCGATCAAATTTCCGCCACCCGTGTCGAAACTATTCATTATCGGCCAAAACGGCTCACATGTCCCTATCCCAACTTTTGATTTACTATTTACTGATATTTAATTGGAACAGATACAGGGTGGTTTAAGATCCAGAATTCTGATCACTATCATTACATAGTGAATCAAAAGTTTAGATAGGGACATGTGAGCCGTTTTGACCGATAATGAATAGTTTCGACAAAAAAATTCGATTGACCCCAAGTGTGATATATCGATGCAATCAGCTCTTCAGCCAGAATCTAAAAATGCGATAAAATACAGGGTGTTCCGTTTGAAATATCAATTTTGATACTACTTTCTAGTATAATCGGCAACACTGCATTATCGAAAATATTTCAAATGAAGAGAGCGTATTCTGAAATACAAGCAAGCACATTTTCATCGATTTCTCCCGACTGATTCTCGATAAAAAGATAGTGTAATCTCATCGTGACAACCCTGTAGAATATATTGAATCATTTTCTTATTGATATCTGGATAACTATGCCGATTATATTGAAACTTGGTGAGGTGTATTTATAGCTCTGTTTCAAGTAATGAAAGATATCCTCTGATGCAGTAGATTTTTCATTCATTCGTTTCAATGGGGTCTTGGAAGAGCATACATTCGATGTTTTTTATGAAAAAATTCACCAAGTTTCACGAAAATTGGAATAAAACTTCTGAGATATTATTGGGAAAGGTTTTTTTTTAACTTTCAATATCCAGCAAATTTTCGGGTTTATTTTCATGAGTCTCTTGTATTTGATATTTATTTTGAGTTGAGCAGATGAAAACTGAAACATTTTTAGAGAAACACCAGAGTTGGTTTCGCGCCTTCACCAAATTTTGAAAGTCCAAGGTTTTTGCATGTTTAATTTTTAGAATAGTTTCATACTATAAGATAACAATTTTATCGAACCACCACATGTTCACATCTTTCACATAACATAAAACGATCAGGTTGTTGTTCTTGGAAAGGTAAGCGAAGGTAAGTCAAAAGGGACTAACGGTCAGTCAGCCTGGACTTGGATGTACTTGAATCAAAATAGGAAAGATTATGGAATTCAAAGGTACAGGATGTCTGATGTTAATTTCATCTGGCAGACCTCCAAATGGACTGGAAGTATTTTTAGGTAACAAGAAAAAAATCTCTTGGGGAAAAAATTACCTATGGAAAAGATCACCATCACGTAACAGCATCCAGTTGAAGTTTTCCGAATACTGTTTTTTTGTGTACTGGACTTTGACCGCAGATCGTATGTTCGCAAGAAAGAAATGTATTTTAAAGGGCAAATGATAAATCAAATAAATAAACAAAATTCACCAGATTTAATTCAAGATATTACAACAATGGGCGTGTACACCTTAGTAGAACTTTTAACTCACACCATGTTTATAATGATCATTTTATACATAAATAATAATTGACGACATAATTCGATCGAAAAATCAACTGGAATGTTTTATTTTTGGACATAAATAATAGTACCTTCTGAAAACGGACCCTCTTATGACGTAGAAACCTCATCTCGCCATAGTTAAAAGAAAATACCAAACGCCCGACGGAGACTGAGGCAACTGATATATTAATTCTTTCAACTGTGATCTCGCGCTAATTCACTCTGTCAGAAATGTATCATTCATCTCTGTCTGGAATAGTCTTGTTTCAGTATTAGGGTTTTGACGTCACATCATCGCCTCGTTTTCATCAGAGGTCCGAAAAATCGGGGATTTCAATCATTTTTCATAAAACGTAGGGAGCTCACAGAAAGAAACGGTTTGCGGTGGTGAGCTAGTTTGGGTGAGCTCTATCGAATTATGAAATGATTTTTTTTGTGATAAAAGCCCATTATCCGATTTGAAAGAGAATGTCAATTCTCAATTTCAGAGGGTTTTTATTTTCATGTTCACCATTTGGATGTTCAACAGATATAATTCAATGTTCGGCGTGGCATATAGCCAGGAAAGTAGTTGTTTTCTGTTGAATATAGCGAGAAAGAATTAATATCTCCATCACATAGAGAATGCGAATTCTCAATGTATTTCCTCATATTTATATATCCATTTCAAGGGGTTCAAACTTGAAAGATGGAAACTTGTTATTTTATTATTAGATATCTATAATCGCAGATTCGTGATTGGGTTTTATCAATTCAGATTATCTTTCCACGTCCAATTATTTCCATTCTTATATTCCTTTATTTTCATTATTCACCTACTATCAAAAGACCGATTGCAGAATAAACAAAGTTAAAGTTAGTTGTATACTGCCGTGATACTTTTTCTTTCTTGCACACATACTCAAATACTGTTGTGGCTCTCAAAAAATTGATTCAGTTTTTCACATTTTTATAGCAAATAAAGACTATCCAACTTGATGATTCGCCAACAGAAAGAGATGACGATGAAATGGATGTATCTGATGATGATGAACCATCAAAAAAGAAACAGAAATATGACGCCTGTAGCGAAGAAAGGCACAATTTGAGAGAGGAGAATGATAGTCTCAAGTGTCAAGTGGAAGCATATAAAAACGAGGTACCTATACTCAAGCGATTTTGATGAAATTTAAATATATACAGGGTATGTCACGACGAGCTCACACTATCTCTACAGGGTGGGCCACCAGTAACGCCTCGGTCTCTAGAAGGCTAACCACTTATCTTCTTGGAATTCTTCCTCTCTAGGAAGTTGCATGTCAACATAGGCTACCATTTGAAATTATTTTGAAACATACAGGATGTCCCCAAAAATCACAAAACACTGAAGTTGAACTTTTTTCTATCGAACACCCTATATATTATTTCATTTTGAGATTCTCCCTGATGAGCTGATTTCAACGACCCATCATACTTGGGGTCTAGCAGTTATAATTACTGAGATATAGGGTGTGAGAAATCGAGATTTTCCAAGTTCAAGAATTTTTTGTGTCTAAACCATTCATAATTGGTCAAAACGGCTCACATGTCCCTATCTCAACTTTTGATCAACTATCTACTGACATTTAAATGAAACAAATACAGAGTGGTGCAGAATTCAGAATCTTGATCACCCGGTATAATGTCCCAATTAAATATCAGTAGATAGCTAATCAAAAGTTGAGATAGGGACATGTAAGCCGTTTTGACCAATTATGAATAGTTTCGACACAAACAATTCTTGAACTTGGAAAATCTCGATTTTTCACACCCCATATTTCAGTAATTATAACTGCTAGACCCCAAGTATGATGGGTCGTTGAAATCAGCTCATCAGGGAGAATCTCAAAATGAAATAATATATAAGGTGTTCGATAGAAAAAAGTTTAACTTCAGTGTTTTATGGTTTTTGGGGACACCCTGTATGTTTCGAAATAATTTTAAATGGTAGCCTATGTTGAGATGCAACTTCCTAGAGAGGAAGAATTCCAAGAAGATAAGTGGTTAGCCTTCTAGAGACCGAGGCGTTACTGGTGGCCCACCCTGTACATATATCGAGAATCAGTCAGGAGAAATCCATGTAAATATGCATGCTGATATTTCAGAATACGCTCTCTTCATTTAAAATATTTTCAGCAATGCAGTGTTCCCGTTTCTATCAAAATGTAGCAACATAGCTTTGTTATTCCAAATAGAATAACCTGTATTTTATTGCATTTTTAGATACTCCCTGAAGAGCTGATTTCATCGATACGTCACACTTGGGGTCTATCGGGAAAGATTACAGAGATATAGGGTGTTCAAAATAGAGATTATTCAACTTTAGGAATTTTTTTTGTCGAAACTATTCATTATTGGTCAAAACGGCTCACATGTTCCTATCCCATCTTTTGATTTACTATTTACTGATATTAAATCGGAACAGATCAAGGGTGATCAGAATTATGAATATTGAACCTCCCTGTATCTGTTCCGATTAAATATCTGTAAATAGTGAAACCAAAGTTGAGATAGGGACATGTGAGCCATTTTAACCGATAATAAATATAGTTTCAACACAAAAAAATCCTAAAGTTGAAAAATCTCGATTTTGAACACCCTAGCTATATCTCTGAAATCTTTTTAGATAGACCCCAAGTGTGATCTGTCAATGAAATCAGCTCTTCAGGGAGAATCTAAAAATGCGATAGAATACAGAGTGTTCCATTTGAAATATCAATTTGCTACTACTTTCTAGTAGAAGAGGCAACACTGCATTGTCGAAAATATTTTTTCAATGAGGAGAGCGTATTCTAAAATATAAGCATATGCATATTTTCATGAATTTCTCCCGAATGATTCTGTATATCAACCCCAAATCAATATTCATGTACATACATATTATTTTGATTTTTATTGTTGTTATAAAAGGTTCCTTTTTGAAATTTCTTTAGAATCAATCCCTCTCTTATTTCTATGGTATGGATTCAATGGTATTTTCGTTTAGGATCGAGCTCTATTCGAGATATTTCAAAGCATAAATAACAAATCCATAGCCTGTCAGAATGCAGAATGAAGCCAACTACCCTCTGCATTCCTGCTCCTAGTGCATTTGTGGTTATGTATGTTTTTGTTAACCAGTTTTACTTCTTCTATTTTTTTTATTCGTTAGTTATTTGTTAGCTATTCGCTTGGTATATTCTTCACCATCAGCTATTTTCTGACTAGATTCAGAATGTAAGTCACAGTTTGCCTTCCGCAAATTAGAAATTGCTTCAATTCGAAAATGAAAACGACTTTATCGGTCTCCATTCTATACAGCGTGGACATAAAACTAGAGACTAGAGGAATTTTCCCCATTATGAACACAAGATATCAATTTCGTTTTATAGGTCGACATTCTGAAAATAGACTACAAAAAAGACATGGAGGATAAAGACAAGCAATTCAAGATGCTGCAGCAAACCCTGCAAGGGATGCAGCAGCAACTGGTCGACGCCAAAAAGCAAAAAAGCGAAGAACAATCCAAAGTCAAAGATCTGCAAGCCAAACTCAGAATGGAAAAAAACCGGAACGACCACAGCGATAGAGACGTCGTCATAATCGATCACAGCGATAACGAACAATCAGATTGCGTCAGTGTGACGGAAACAATAAGTGATTCGGCGGCGATTCTGGGCGAACGTCAGGCCAAATTGGTGGGGATAATTTCGGCCTTTCTGAATGTCCATCCGTTCGGGGCAGGGCTGGATTATATTTGGTCGTATGTGAGCAAGATCGAGCCGAACCTGAGGACGGCCGAGATCGAAACGTTGATGAGCAGGTTTCCTGCTGTTTTCAAGCAGGAGTTGGTGGGTATCGGGGCTAATATCGAGCGGAGGTGGATGTTCAATGCGTTTAGTTCGTCGAGCGGAGATAAGGATTAGAAGTAGGTTATTGGTTTTGTATTTTTTTTCCAGTGGAAAGGAGTTGTTTATTTGTAGCCGATTGTTTAATAAATTATTGTATATTGACAGATTGTCTGACTCTGGATTTATTTATTGTGCATGAACCTTTTCCCGATTTCATAAGGTACATATTGTTAGAAATTACTATTTTCACAAGCTTTTATTTAGTTTCACATGTGTCTGTAATCAAATCTTGCGAGTTGAATATGGTACCTACACTTCTAATCGGCCGATTTATTTCAAATTTAGCAGATGTACATAATTCTGGTGTCAATGCATCATGAAATTTTTGCTGGGGAAAAAATCAAAATGGCGGATGAGTTTTGTAATTATGATCTAATTCTATTAAAAATTGGTACCTGGGGGTTTTTGGGGTCGGCAATTGTGATTCATCTGTCAAAATCGGAAAATTCAAGATGGCGGACGAGTTTTGTAATTATGATCCGAATTTCGTCAAAAATGGAAAATCAAGATGGATTTGCTATCAATCTTATTGTGCATGAATAACCTTTTCCCGATTTTGAGGTACAATTTGTAAAAATTATTCTTTTCACAAGCTTTTATTCAGTTTTACCTGTCTGTAATCAAATCTTGCAAGTTGAATATGGCACACTGCTTCTAATCGTCTGATTGATTTCAAATTTGGCAAGTGTACATAATACTGGTGACAATGCATCATGAAATTTTTGTTGGAGAAAAAAATCATAATGGCGGATGAGTTTTGTAATTATGATCAAATTCTATTCAAAATTGGTATCTGGGGATTTTTGGAGTCGGCAATTGTGATTCTTCTGTCAAAATCGGAAAATTCAAGATGGCGGACGAGCTTTGTAATTATGATCCGAATCTCAGACGAATAACAGACCCGAATTATTCGTCAATAATGGCAAATCAATATGGCGAACGAGTTTTTTATTGTTTTATTATGATGATAATTATGATCCGATTCAAGATTCAATTCAAAATTGGTATCTGGGGGTATTCTTGGTCGGAAATTTTGATTCTTTCATCAAAATTGAGTGTATAAGTTTCTCTCTAAAGATATTTTTTTAATTTCCTTGTTTTCACTAAAAATTCAACAATAAACTATCACAACTGAAACTATCTTCAAAAGTCATACATAGATTAACGACTCCCCTAATCTATATGAGTCATACAATGAATGTGTGAATCATTATACAGGGTTTCCCAAAAGAACTGGAACGGCCGAATATTTCAGCAACGGCTTGACATAAAATTATGAGTTGTGCCGGATCTAAAAATTATATTTGCAACGTTGCCAGTTTTACAGTTTTTCCCATAAGAGCCCTCAACTTTAATTTTTAAACGTAATGCTATTTTGATTTTTGGCGCATTCGATTTTTCGTCTCAAAACTACAATGACCCTATATAATATCAAACTTGTATTCCCTTTATTTTTGTTGATATGACAAATGAACATTTCGTCAAAAAATATCACAAAATTCCAATATTTCGAGAAATCGTGGCGATATGACAATAAAAATTTATTTTATAAGGAAGTTTTCAACAAGTCTGATCTAAAAATACCATTTACAACGTTGCCAAATCTACATGGTGTTTATACTTCCTTTCGCCTAAGTATTTATTTAAACTGCCTTTTTAATAGATCGACAAACTCTAGATTTTTTTATTTGTTTCTCGGGAAACTAATTCATGAACTTCTTGATAGCTTCTCATGATCAATAGGGTTCGATTTGTTTAGGTTACAAGAATGTAACTTCATGGCATCAAATAAAATGCTCAATAATTAAAAAGGCAGTTTAAATAAATACTTAGGAAGATTTAGTATAAACAACATGTAGATTTGGCAACGTTGTAAATGGTATTTTTAGATCAGACTTGCTGAAAACTTCCTTACAAAATACATTTTTATTGTCATATCGCCACGATTTCTCGAAATATTGGAATTTTGTGATATTTTTTGACGAAATGTTCATTTGTCATATTTAAAAAAATGAAGGGAATACAAATTTGATATTATATAGGGTCATAGTAGATTTGAGACGACAAATCGAATGCGCTAAAAATGAACATAGCATTACATTTAAAAAAATAAAGTTGAGGGCTCTATAGGGAAAACTGTAAAACTGGCAACGTTGCAAATATTATTTTTAGATCCGGCACAACTGATTACCCCCGTATACCAAATTTCATAATTTTATGTCAAGCCGTTGCTGAAATATTCGGCCGTTCCGGTTCTTTTGGGAAACCCTGTATAGTATGAGATTCCTGAATTGCATTTGTTTCATTTACTTACTGAATTGAAAATATTTTGTTATGGGGAAAGCTTAAATATTTCACTCTCAAAATCCTCAATGAAATGACTAAATAAATAAATTAGCTGAGTGTATTTTTATTCAATTTAAATTTTCTAGAATCTGGAAGTTTTGAAACTTTAACATTTTCCTATTCTGTTTTCATTATATGAACACAAAATTTGTGCATTTGTCATTGATATGGAGTTTTGGCTTTAGATGTTGGTATAAATTAGGATGAGATGATTTTTATTCCAACAGTGATGTTTCTTTAGCATGTTCCTATTGTAAATATAATAACATATAGATATTGAAAATGTGGACCAAATATAAATAATTATTATGGAAGAAGACAGCATTTATTTTTGTTTCAAGCAAGATGATTATAACTGAATAGTTTATTGTATATAAACTATATAAAATCCAGATTCCAGATATTTTGATTTATCATTATTTCATGTTACTCACACTTTCATTGAAAATAAATTCAAGTTATGTCAATAAAATTTATTGGCAACTGCAATCAAACTTCTTTGGGCATAAAATAATAAATATGAATTTCACATGATTTGGCTAGCTGTAGACTCAATATATCTACATATTATTTCAAAATAAACCTATATACATTTTCCACAACATTTGTTCAGACCATCAATTTCTGGTTTATGATTGGGTGTCCAGGGGCCCAAACTGGCATTGGCATAAAAGTCCATGGGATAGCTGGCACCTTCCTTGTGCCATTTGGCATCCTCTGTCACAATTGAAGCTTCATAAGGAGTGATGAGAGGCTTAGAAAAAGCAGCACCCCAATCAATGGACAGTCTAGGACATGCAATTTGAACAAAAGCATCAATGTTCTTGAAGAGTGCTAGTTTGTGGGGAAATATTTCAGAAAGTAGGATCACCACAGTTTTTTTGGAGGACTCTTCCAGGCGCTTCCTCAAGTGTTCCACAACATTTACATTTCCTTGACGGCCTAAGGTACCCATGATAACTCCAAAAGTACCTGCACACCTAGCCTTTGCTATACTTTCCTTCCTGATCTTTTCCATTTCTTCATGCTGGTAGGATTCCTTGGTGAACTTTTTTGCATAGGGGTCATATTTATATGCTTGGACATGTGGGTTAGCTATCATTGCTGCTTCTAAGTGGAATTGGCCATCTCCCAGATAGATTAAGGCATCAGCACACCTCAAAACTGGGGCTGTGCACCCTAAAATTTCTCCTGGTGAAAGGGGTTTAAACTGTGGAATGGAGACATTGTATCCAATTTCTTTCAATTTACTAGATACACCTTGAAGTGTTGTTACAAATTGTATTGTACTAACTAGAGCTATCTTGGTGGAAGGATCAAAGTTCACCTTAACAGTATCAATGAAGTGAAGAGGGTCTATTTTGATATCAACAAAAACATACAAAACTTTGATTCCACTTGTTTGATCAGAAGGTACTAGACAACTGTGTCCATAGTGGACCAGTAATTCCACTCCTAAGGCCTTGGCAGTGAGGTCATCAATACAGCAAGCTCCATAAGTAACATCACCCATTATTATGGAATCTGCCCCAGTGAAGTCTTTTATTATGTCCACAATGGTAGTTGAGAAGAGTAACAGACCTTCTGGCATTTGGAGAGCTACAGTTTTCACCTTCAATTCTTGAATTCGCCATATCGTTTTTGGAATCTCAAAATTGTAATTTTTTGGCAGAGTTGATATTGCAGCTTGCAGTTTTGGATTGTTCAGTATGGACTCAGGAATTTTCGTAACTTTGGTGGCTTTGAATACCTTTCTTTCTGGTTTTGCTTTGACTACTACAGTCGAATCAGTCATTCTACTGATATGATTAGAAAAAAACTTTCACTCTGTGCAATGCAAGAAAAAATGCATGGTCAAATTTGAATTTTCATTAGTATTAGTTCATTTGTAAGGTTAATTTGTGTGTGAACGTGATTAGTTCATTTGTATCATGGCTGATCTAGCCAGTGTTGCCGTTTCAGAATTTCAATTTGTACTAGAAATCGTTCCGAAACTGTACTAAATTCAAGTATATTGTACTAAATTGAGAAAATAACACTTCAAAATGTACGATTCACACAATGATGGAAGTAAAATATGGTGTAATTACTGATGCGCTTTTGTTTCAGAAATTTTACTCGACCTCTCGAGAACAGCGAGAGCAATGGTTCCGTCGATCTTCTAATAGATGGCGACATTGCACAATTATAACATCTGTCAGTTTTGAAATTATCGCAGATTTTTCGAATTGAGAGTTGAATAATCCCACTGTTACATACATGTTACATATGTTCCGAGTACCTAAAATGCCATTTGCCATTTCATTTCCACTCGTCTCAGCAGCAATAGAAGCATCACCATCTAGCGGGAAAATGTAGAATTAACGTCTCGCTCGTTGTGGCGTAGAGAAATCATAGTAGGCGGTCGAGTAGTCGAGTGATTTTTCTGAAATCTTCAATACGTAATAATGGCCGAATGCGCGCACCATATCTTACTTCCCTCATTATTCACACATTTGATGAAAAACTTCATATTCATGTATAAGAATTCAATATAATAATATACAGCACACTAATACACCTCTGAAAAAGGTAGGTCATGAAATAATATAATTATTATAACTAAAGCCGAAAATAAGAGATGAAAAGAACTTATTAGATTACAGATCGAGATCAAATACCATCAATAAGATAGAATAATATGACTTCTAAGTCAAATCAATTCATCAATAACAGCTCATTGTTTCTCCGGAGAGCTTCATTAGAATTCCAATTATGACATAATATCTTCTCCAAATCATTGTTTTGTGTACAATGATAGCTTGAGCCTGAGCTTGGCCTGAGCTAGTGAGCTATGAGCTATCTGAAATTAGAGTAGGCCGGGCTATCCGGCTCGCGAGAATTGACCAGCCCCGGGGTTCATCGCGGGAAAGAGAAGGACGTATAACTCGCTCTCGCTCAGATGAACCTTTTTTCTTGAAGAAGGAGAATTTTTCTTGAGGAAGGAAAATATTGTTTCTGCATAAAAAATGAGAAAACCTAACCTATCTATTTTATGAGTATATCTGTACTTGTTTCGTTGACCTGTGTAAAACTTAATGTTTATTAACACCAAATAAAATATTCTATTCTATTCTAACCTAACCTAACCTAACCGAACCTCACCTCTGGCCTAAACCACAAACATAGAAAACCCCTAAATGAACCTATTTCCCATAGAGAATATTTTTTAGAAATCACTTGAGAACAAGGAAAAAATAAAAAAAAGATGAGCCTCGCACGGATTCGAACCCCGGCCCGCCGGCTTGGCATGCCGATGCTCTGCCTACTGAGCCAACCAGTTGCTTACGAGACGAAGTATGATGAAGTACTGTGCTTCGGCTATGTGCCAAATGCATTCTCGCGAGTGAGAGGGCATTATATGTCCTTCTCTCTCCCGCGATAAACCCCGGGGCTTGTCAATTCTCGCATCCGGCTCTTGTTTTTGTGCTAGATTAGTGTTAATTGTATTGAGGTACTAAATGTGTAATAGTGGAAGTAGCGGAGTTGCCAGATATATTATGTTGTGTCACAGATTAACAAAAGGTTTGTTAATCTGTGGTTGTGTAGTGACAAGTTCAAGTACTAGAAGTTGAAATAAGAAAGAAGGAGAAGAAACTGAAGAAAGAACATTTCAGTATTTTCTGTTCAGTTGTCAGTGTCAGTGTCACTGGGTCTGGGTCTGGCTGGGTGTTGTCCATATCAAAAGAGTGAAAAATTGGTTTTGAAAATTACTTGAAATAAACTGAATTTAATTCGTGTTGACTGACCAGAGTCCGCGAATTAGCTGAAGAGGTAAGAAATCGAATCGGTATAGAATCTTTCAGTACTATATAGATATTGTTTTTTTTCTAGATGACTGAAATTCACAGATTTGGGAATATCGTGAGCCCTATCACATGCCACGCCTGGAACAAGGACAGGACTCGTAAGTATACTCAATTACCATCCAAACGCCAATAAAATTCGATCCCTTTCTAGAAATCGCCTTGTCCCCAAACAATCATGAAGTCCACATTTACCACAGAAGTGGATCTGAGTGGAAACTACTGGACACTCTCAACCAACACGATCTTCGCGTCATGGGGATCGATTGGGCCCCAAACACAAACCGGATCGTGACTTGTGCCGCCGATCGAAACGCTTACGTTTGGACCCAAGACAAGGAAAACAAATGGAAGCCAACACTGGTTCTTCTCAGAATAAATCGGGCTGCCACCTGTGTAAAATGGTCTCCTTTGGAAAACAAATTCGCCGTCGGTTCAGGAGCCAGACTGATCTCAGTCTGCTATTTCGAATCTGAGAATGACTGGTGGGTTTCCAAGCATATTAAGAAGCCTATTAGGTCAACTGTCACTTGCTTAGACTGGCACCCAAATAATGTTTTACTTGCTGCTGGTTCCACGGATTTTAAGGTCAGGGTTTTCTCTGCCTACATAAAAGACATAGAAAAGACTCCTGAAGCTACTCCTTGGGGCTCAAAGATGCCTCTGGGGCAGCTGATGGTGGAGTTTGTCAATTCTGAGGGAGGTGGTGGTTGGGTGCATAGTGTCAGCTTTTGCCCTGATGGTAACAAAGTTTGCTGGGTGGCACATGACTCATCAATCAATATGGCTGATGCCACTGCTGGGAGTGTTGTTCATAAATTGAGAACTGAGTATCTGCCTTTTTTGAGCTGCACTTGGATCAATAACAAATCAGTGATTGCAGCTGGCCATAGCTGTATTCCAATCATGTATAGTGTTGATGGAAATGGTCAGCCGATTTTTGTTGCCAAACTAGATGCTTCCCAGAAGAAGGAAAGTGGAGGTCTTTCTGCCATGAGAATGTTCCATTCCTTGGATAAGCAGGTAATCAGGAGTTGAGCAATTTCAATGAAATATGTCATCTATATTTTTCCTTCTACTTATAAACATTTTACAATGTTTTTGTTTAGGCCAGGGTAGAGACATCAGATACCAATTTGGATTCCATACATCAGAATGCTATCACTTGTTTGTGCATTCATTCTGGTACTAGAGAGAAGGTTTTGAAAATTTCTACTTCTGGAGCTGATGGTCAGTTGGTTATTTGGGATTTGAACACTCTGGAAAGGTCCATTCAGAATATGAGAATTGACTAAATAGTTCCAACTCTTTTTAATAAAATTAAACTATGAGGATTCTGTTTCTGAATTTGAATTTCCCTCCACTTAGATGTTTATCATCCTGGGTGCCATACTTTTAGGTATTTTGTGAACGAATATACAATGTCTATCCTTCCTTCCTTCTTCCTTGCATTTAGTTAACAAAGATAGGGACACTGTTGAGTGCGATTTTAGTTCTGTGGATATGTTCGTTACTTCCTTGTATAAATATGCTTCCTTGTTCCGAGATTCTGTTATTTTTCAATTTGTGTCACATGGTCAGTCTAGTGATGGGCAGAATCGAGTATTTTCAAGAATCGAATGTATGATATTCGAATACTTCCAAGAATCGATACTCAATATTAGATCCTTGAACCAAATGGAATATCTTATGGTGACAAAGAATCAGAGCCAGAACAAAATCTTATTGATGGAAATTTTAAGTGCGTTTGAGCTGAATGAATATTAGAAATATCATATACAGAGCGAGCTGAATTCCAAATGGAATATATCATAATGTATTACAGGGTGAGCAGAAAAACCAGCGGCAGATCAAAATCTTATCGATGAATAGGTATATTTAAAAAATACACACTGTGTTTGAGACGAATGGATGAAAAAAAAACATATACAGAGAGACCTACAATACCAACCCAGAGCACAATATTGCAGTCCAACAATGAAATCACTTTCCCAAATTTATTTCTCTGTGAAGTTATTCCATGAGTTTCGAAAATCGATTCAGCAACATTAAACCATACTACAGGCTCATATGTTTCCAGAAAGTTGGTAGGTTAATTGATTTAATTGATTCTTGCTCTTTCTTGGAATGTCCAGTTGTGATGTGGTCTTCTGAGGAGATGATGTCATATGAGGCATGATACTGTTTGAAAATGTTGAAATATCAAATACTGCTTGTCTGATCTGCAACAAAATTCACATATCAATCGAAGTACATTCATATCAGAAAATAAATATCATTAGATGAATTACATGGATGTTGAATCTGAGACATACCTGAATAATATATTCAACGTCCGTAACTGGGTTGCTACATATCCGCTTTCTTTCCGAATAGTGTTTTTTCCAGTATATTTATCTTCAACATTCTCAATAACGTACGTGGGTTATATTAAGGACCTTGATCGCCAAACGATGTCGTGCTGCTCGGATCTAAAACTAAACATCAATTTCAAATTTGAATCGTGAGACCTACTTAGAATATTGGATATTGTTTTCAACATTCGTAACTGGAACGCGATATATTCTTGTAATTCATCAATTAATCAACTATCTCAAGGAAGACGAGGCAGGCAGATAAACAACAATTTTCTCTACAATGAAGAACACTGTATATACCTAACCCACCATGCGTCTACCTCCTTTGCAGAGAGGGTTTATAAACGCCGAGTTGATACTATCCCCTCGTGAGGGTACCTGTCGTGTTTCCATAGAGACATAAAGCTGAATATCTGTCTATCTGTCTGCTTGAGGATCTGGAAAGGTAATCAATATATCGCCTTCCGTACGAATATAATGATCTGAATTTTGTAAAGTATACTCTGGTCAGTTCTCTTTACGGATCTTCTGTTCGGTCCATATTTACTGGATGGTTTTCTCCGATTGAGTGACAACTATCAAACACTGCTTCTTGGATCTGCAAGTAAACATCACATTCAAATCGAAGTACATTAAAATCAGAAAATATCATTAGAGGAAATACATATATAGATGTTGAATTTGAGACATACTTGAATAATATTTTCAACGTCCGTAACTAGATTGCTACATATCCGTATAGTGGTTTTTCCAGTAGACATATTCCACATGTTCAATTTCGTGGGTTATATTAAGGACCTGGAAGGCCAAACAATGTGCTGCTCAGATCTAAAACTTAAGTATTAATTTCAAATTCGAATCGTGAGACCTACATAACATTCATAACTGGAACGCGATATATTTTTGTAATTCATCAATTCATCAACTATCTCAATGAAGACGAGACAGGCAGATAAACAACAATTTTCTCTGCAATGAAGAACACTGTATATACCTAACCCACCATGCGCCTACCTCCTTTGCAGAGAGGGTTTATAAACGCTGAGTTGATACTCTCCCCTCGTGAGGGTACCTGTCGTGTTTCCATAGAGACATAAAGCTGAATATCTGTCTATCTGTCTGCTTGAGGATCTGGAAAGGTAATCAATATATCGCCTTCCGTACGAATATAATGATCTGAATTCTGTAAAGTATACTCTGGTCAGTTCTCTTTGCGGATCTTCTGTTCGGTCCATATTTACTGGATGGTTATTTTCTCCGATTGAGTGGCAACTATCAAACACTACTTCTTGGATCTGCAACTAAACATCACATTCAAATCGATCGAAGTACATTAAAATCCAGAGGAAATACATAGATGTTGAATCTGAGACATACTTGAATAATATTTTCAACGCGTCCATAACTAGATTGCTACATATCCGCTTTCTTTCCGTATAGTGGTTTTTCCAGTAGACATATTCCACATGTTCAATTACGTGGGTTATATTAAGGAACTGGAAGGCCAAACAATGTGCTGCTCAGATCTAAAACTTAAGTATTAATTTCAAATCTGCATCGTGAGACCTACATAGAATATGAATCTATGAAAAGTCTGGATATTGTTTTCAACATTCATAACTGGAACGCGATATATTTTTGTAATTCATCAATTCATCAACTATCTCAATGAAGACGAGGCAGGCAGATAAACAACAATTTTCTCTTCAATGAAGAACACTGTATATACCTAACCCACCATGCGCCTACCTCCTTTGCAGAGAGGGTTTATAAACGCTGAGTTGATACTCTCCCCTCGTGAGGGTACCTGTCGTGTTTCCATAGAGACATAAAGCTGAATATCTGTCTATCTGTCTGCTTGAGGATCTGGAAAGGTAATCAATATATCGCCTTCCGTACGAATATAATGATCTGAATTCTGTAAAGTATACTCTGGTCAGTTCTCTTTACGGATCTTCTGTTCGGTCCATATATTTACTGGATGGTTTTCTCCGATTGAGTGGCAAGTATCAAATACTGCTTCTCTGATCTGCAACAAAATATCACATATCAATCGAAGTACATTCATATCAGAAAATAAATATCATTAGATGAATTACATGGATGTTGAATCTGAGACATACCTGAATAATACTGGGTGGCTACATATCCGCTTTCTTTCCGAATAGTGTTTCTTTCAGTAGGCATCTTCCACATTTTCAATTACGTACGTGGGTTTTATTAAGGACCTTGAAGGCCAAACGATGTGCTGCTCGAATCTAAAACTCGTGAGACCTACATAAAATATTGGATATTGTTTTCAACATTCGTAACTGGAACGCGATATATTCTTGTAATTCATCAATTAATCAACTATCTCAAGGAAGACGAGGCAGGCAGATAAACAACAATTTTCTCTACAATGAAGAACACTGTATATACCTAACCCACCATGCGCCTACCTCCTTTGCAGAGAGGGTTTATAAACGCTGAGTTGATACTCTCCCCTCGTGAGGGTACCTGTCGTGTTTCCATAGAGACATAAAGCTGAATATCTGTCTATCTGTCTGCTTGAGGATCTGGAAAGGTAATCAATATATCGCCTTCCGTACGAATATAATGATCTGAATTCTGTAAAGTATACTCATCTGGTCAGTTCTCTTTACGGATCTTCTGTTCGGTCCATATATTTACTGGATGGTTTTCTCCGATTGAGTGGCAACTATCAAACACTGCTTCTTGGATCTGCAACTAAACATTACATTCAAATCGAACTACATTTGAATCAGAAAATATCATTAGAGGTAATACATAGATGTTGAATCAGAGACATACTTGAATAATATTTTCAACGTCCGTAACTATATAGATTGCTACATATCCGCTTTTTTTCCGTATAGTGGTTTTTCCACTAGGCATCTTTCCACATGTTCAATTACGTGGGTTATATTAAGGACCTCGAAGACCAAACAATGCGTGCAGCTCAAATCTAAAACTAAGTATCGATTTCAAATTTGAATCGTGAGACCTACATAGAATATGAATCTATGAAAAGTCTGGATATTGATTTCAACATTCATAATTGTTTGCATAGAGACATAAAGGTGAATATCTGTCTTATCTGTTTTCTTGAGAATCTAGAAAGGATATCAATATATTGCCTTTCGTACGAAAATAATATGATCTGAATATTTTGAGACAATTGATTTTTATGTCTAATTAGGAATACAACTAATACAAAAATGAGCATTTATGAATTATTGAATAACTATATTATTTCCTAAGTTCCAATCGTATTCCAACATATGGCAACTGTGCAATGGTGTGTCCCTACTTACGAAATCGTGACGTCAGTTTTTACTCGCGGTACATTTTTAGCCGTTTGAAAATTACCGTGGCATTATTGTTAATCTCAGCACCTTCAAATCGAATGAAGAATTCTGAAAAAATTTATGAAATTGAAAGTTATTAGAGTGATGATTCTATTTGAGAAATGAAAAAAGATATAGTCAACTCGCCTATATAATTTTTGTGGATGGTTCCATATGGCTGTTAGCGAGCAGTGTATATCACTGAAAATGACTCAACTTGGTCATAGTGTGTACTTTCATCATTTATCTAACGTTCCTGCAAATTTCAGAATCCTAACTAAACAAATACGAAAGATACAGGGATGCTTCCATTAAAAATGAGACACACTGTGCAATGTTCATCTTGAGTTAATTCTGATCTCCATATCTCTTCATCTGGAGTTTCATCTTCAAAGTGAGCCTGAGATTTTAAAAATCGGTTGGAAAGGAAAAAAGTTATGGCTGCAAAACCTAAAAGTTAATTTTTCCATATCACTCTGTAAGTAAAAGGGATAATAAGACAATTCGATGTATGTATGTAATGTATCAAGGTAATCTCCTGTCAAAGTTGAAAAAAAAGTTTTTGTTCATTTGGGATCCTTTTGAAAATTCAAAAATTTTTCACAGTTTCATCAGCTGTGACATTTATAT